TTCACTTGCGATTACTTCGCGTTGGTGTACAGCTTCTGAAACTTAGAGTTTACTAACATGTAGCGGCGAGTACAAAATGTAACAACGAAATTAAATTTTTTTTACAAAAGTGAATCTCTTTGAATGCGCCAGGCGCTTCTCTGACGATTCGTCAATAAAATATAATGCGCCGGTGGAAATAAAACTCTCTTGGTCAGAAATGCGGCGAGACAAGAGACGACAATTTCTGATAAGAGAACGCCCGCATACCGCCGGCATTACAGCCGTCCAATTATCGCGCGTGGAATTTTCGACGCGCGATGCTAATCGTCCTCCCAACTCAGACCCACCAAAAATTTAATAAATTGTCGAACTGTGTGCTTTGAAAACACACACGACACGCAAGATGTTATTTATGCGAAATTACATCCAATTTCTTCCCGAAAAACAGCCAGCGAACGCGCAAAACGTTTGCGGTTTTCTGTCTCCGGTCTCCTCGTCGCGGTTGATTGTTTTATTGCGATGTTGTCCCTCATGGACCACTTTTTGACTGTTGGTATTTGCTCCATATAATCATGTACGAGTACGCCACAGGCGCTCCGAGAAGCGCTTGTTGCTTTTTTTCTGTGTGTCGAAATGAGTTGGAATGTCTGGAGTTCTTTGATCCGCTCGGTGGATCGGCGCGCGGGCGCAAATACCCTTGTTTTCCGAGGCTATTAACACGTATGTAATTATTGCGCGGTGCCGACGCGAGGCCCGCCGTATCTTCTCCTCGGCATCGCCTCGAGGCGGACCCGCTTCAATGGACCAAGCGCCGCGTGCAAATATGAAGGAATGAAAGGACGCTGAGTGGGCCCCGAAATTTATGAACGAAACCATTTGGGGACGTCCTTTTCGATTCTATACCGACTGTTCTCAGAAAAAAATCATTTAAAAACTCTCAAAATTACAAAAAAAATTTAAATTTTTTTTCTATATTTTTATCGATTCAACCGTCAAAATAAAATTTAAAAAAATATTTTTTAAATATTTCTGGATGTAAAAATAAAAATTTTCAAATTGCAACAGTAAGTATTTTCAATTTCGTAGTTTCACAGGTAAACAAAGAGCAGATGAATGTTTGTGTGGATGTTCGCCTCCTCGTTAAACAACATCGTGGCGCGCCGCGCGTCAAATTATAGACCACTTGATCGGCGATGACAAGCGAGAGGGTTGCTCGTGATTCATATCAACGCGCACACACCGCTAGTCGATTACCACCGGAACATCGCTGGCTCCATTCACCCTTTGATCCCGACTCGCGGCGCGGGTATCTTTCAATCTCATCACATACTTGTACATATATATAGGAAATGCCACAGAAAGTAAAACTATACTTGCGTCTAATAAATAATAGCATCCTCACACCCCCTTTTGAACGAAATCAAGTCGCGGTAATAAACAGCGGCGCGTCAAAGACCGCACAAAGACGTTACATATTTCAAGCTCAATCAGTGTACAAATAGGTCGATTACACCCCTCGACCGAGTAAAAAATTGTGTCTTTTGTGCGCCAGAGCGGCGCGGACACAAAGAAACACGACGATAAAGCGCGCGGTAATCCTTTTTCGTTGGCTCTTAATATTAATACGTTTTTGGATGCTTTGAGTGCTAAAAGTCAGCGCCGAGCAGCGAGCCCATTATTCATCGATCGGGCTGTAAATATTCCCGGATGGAAACGATCCGAAACACTAAAAAATCAAGCGCAACCGGGGAGAGCACAAAAGGCACATCATTTCGGTTGTGTATTTCGACGCGAGACGTAAATATAAATTAAGGTAAGCAGTTAATGCATCTTTTGCACCTTTTTATTTCGGTGTGGGGCCTCAAGACACCATCGAAACTAGACTACTGTGTATGCGGCTTTATTTTCAGCTTAAAGTCATGGGTCGTAAACCGGCAATTTCCAAACAATTCTCAAAATTACAAAATTATTCTTTGGGTCAAGACATATTACCCACGAGACGAAAACCGCAAACCAATTAATTAAAGATTTTACTTCATTTTACTTAAACCACTTGGGTGGTGTGCAAAATTAAATATTTTTTACTATTATTTTATTACTATTGGAATATTATCCAATCACGTGCGTTGAATTCCTGGAAATAGAAGTATACTGCCACGGATCAAACGCTTTACATGGACAATTAATCAGACACCTAGTGCTTTCATTATTGGATGCGGTAATAGCTTTTTTCCATGCCACCGCAAGACATCTAATAGATAATAAACGTGCTGTGTTTTTCTGCCAACGAGCAAGCCACGTAATAGCTTCCCGCTTCCCACTTTCGTTTTTTGACTTGCATGTCAATTCCACGAATTATTCAAGTTATAACCTATAACTTAACCTCAAACTTTTTGATATTTGTCTCTAAATATTACCCATAAGTATAAAAAATAGCAAAGATGGTTCAAATTGTTCAGTGGACAAAGTGCAACGTGTGCGGTGCACGTCAGCAGACATTGATGACATTCTCGAATCCTATCGCACGTCCTGCAGAGGACTTGTGCACTGTACTTGTTTTTATCGCAAGTTGAACTGCATTCACGTCGTGTTTTCTTTCAATTTTTTTTTTCAATTTTTTTGTTTGAAGATTAAATTTATCCCGACAGTTATTAAACTATTACAGATATTATTATAAGAGGCATGAATGGTTGACGGTGGACTCTGAGTCAGTGTTTTCAGAAATTCTACAAAACCTTCCGTGAATTTACGCGTATGTTCGTTGAAATATCGAAATTTTCCGAGAAGTTGAGAGTCGATTGAATCTCGCCTTGGTTCACTCGAGAATATCGGCTGTGGATGCCACTAAACAAAGTACTTTGGCGCATATTGTACAATATATACAGTGTGTTTCCTTATAAAAATAAAATTTAAATGATTTTATATTAAAAATGATAAATATTATGATTTTATTTGAGTTTTTTGAGAAAAAAATGTTTTTTTCATGTTTTGATGTGTTTTATGTGATTTTTTGAGATTTAAATGTTGTTAATAATTTTATTGTAACAAATAGTATCTGAAAACAATAAACCAGCATGGCATGGGACAATGGTATGGCAATAAACTCTCGTGCACCGCGTACGCGCGCTCCGACGTGGATTCTCACCCCGATTCCGAGAAATTCGTCTCCAAAAAGACCGCTACTTGGCCGTCCGCGCGTTTCATCGGCTACTACTAATTTGATTGCCTTTTTTTCTAAAACGAGCCGCCAAACAATACGCGCGCCACTTCTGAAGACACTCGCCAGCCCTGCGCGCCAGCATTAGATAATTAAGATCTAATAATAAATAAGTGGTAGTTAAAGATCGATTTCCTTATTTGGTGGTGAGACATAGTGAAAGCTATGATTCTATGCTTCTTCTTTCTATTTTCGGCAATCGCAACAACGTTTTCGTGGAATCACAGCCTTTTTTCGGTGTAATTGAGCGTAATAAATTAATTGAATCCGGAAAAAATGCGTGCTACGTGCACTTTAACTGCATTATCATCCAACGCGAAGATTCTCGGAAAACTGACTTGGATTTTCACCTTTTCTATAGTTAACTAGCAATATTTAAATTAATATTGAATTTTCTCAACGTGAAACAAAAAATATTTTCGTGCTGCATTTATTTGCACCAAATATGGAATAAAATGTACACAAGTTTGTTTGCTCCACATTGCTTACCATCGAATATCAGCAATGACAGCAATGCGTTTGTTGTTACTAATGATTTGCGAAGAATTTCGCATTTTTCCAGCCGCGCTGACTGGCGGAGTAATCTTGTAATGATCTTTAATCCAGGCGGCTGGATGTCAAATTGCTTTAATTAATTAGCAAGCTGCAAAACACACAATGCGCATTGTTGGCATGCAGCAGGACGGTACAGTTAATTACCGATTGTGCTAGATTTTAATTAGCGCTCGGTTTGCGTTTTGCTATTACAAGCAGAGAAGCGAGGTATATCTTAAAATCAATACCGCGGTTATTTTTAGCACAGAATGCGCGTTTTTACATTTTCAAATTGACTTTTGATGTTCGGCTTTTAAGAATCCTTTCAGGTCTTTCATTTTAAGTTTTAAGACTATCAAATCTATAAATAACTGTATAAAATCACGTTATTTACTTATAACTCATGAATTACTCGACCGATTTTTAAGATATTTAATTTTTTAGCTTATTTTTCCTCACGAATCGCAAAATATTTATTACAACACCGAAAAAAATCAAAATAAAAATTAGAAAAACGAAAAAATTTATAAAAATTATTTTTCGAGTTTTTCTTTTTAATTTAACAACAAAACTGAATATAATTTAATTAATTAACTAATTGAAATATAGTTGTCTCCCAAATGGCTACACTTGTAGTGAATTCAAATAAAACACAAAAATTACAACCGACCTAATTTCCCCTGACCTCGTAACTAGGCGTCACTAAGTCGGGAACTAGTTGAAAATCGATTTTTCCACACAAACCAAACAAAACACATACAAACACTATGATTTTTCCTCTTTACATCGAAAAATACAACCCAAAATGTTAAATATTCCACTCTGGATGCGATAATACCATAATGCAATTAGTTACGGTACCGCCCTTGAACGTGCACGATATTTTGCATTTTAATGACTCGCCGCTCGCAACCGCAGCGATTCAGAAGACAGCCACGAAGAAGAAATTCATTGGCTCGTTGAATTCGAGAGTCATCCTTGGTCAGCGGCCATTAAACGCTGAATTTCATGCAAATTTCACGCTCCAAGAAACTCTCGCACATGGCGGCCATATTGTAATATTATAAACATCAATGAATTACATACAGAACAACACATTCGAAAGCCGAAATCATTAATATTTCATTATAGCAACAATTTGTGATTGTCGACATGTTAAACATGTTTGAATATTGTGTCATTGTGTGAGTGCGTCGGCGTTGTGAGACCTTCGACTCGCGTAAAATTACATAACGAACGCGGCGATATATCCAACTCGCACGTTTGCGCCAGCGACGAGTTAAATTCGAGCGTCCATGGAATGCGAGTCGCGTTTTCGCGCTTCGCGTTGAAAATTTTAAATTAATAATTTGAAATTCGAGTACAACGCGGCCGTAAATATCGCTGTTATCCGATGCAGAGCAGTTGTGCGTGGATTCGACACGAGTGTTTTCCCATACGTTCAATTTGACGATTTTAAGTTAGTTATTGTGTGTTGTGTGTGTTCCGCGCAAACATTTCGTACCAGCGCGAGACGCGAATGTGCTGTGCGTTTAGTGTCACGTGCTAATAGTAATTATAAATAAAACACACGCACACGTAGCGCGAGACCGCAAGGAGAAACTCTCCAGCTGCTGCTGGCCTGTGCGTCGTTAAAATTTAGGCGCGTTTGGTTTATTGTGAGCGCGCCGCGTGGAATAGACTCGCGGCTCGCGAGGATAATTTGTGTTATCGATGAGGTTGGTCTCTTAAAACGTGCGTACGCGTGGTGCCAGTCACCAGTTAACTGTCAGATTGTGTATGGGCTCGGTTCGGTAAACGAAATATTCGAAATTGAAGGAAATTGAAAATCAGTGTATTTTCTGCATTCGGCTGCGACGCAACGCATTTCCGGTTTTTGACACAAGTAAGTAAAAAAATCACTGGGGAATTTTATTTGTACGTGTTATATTTCTCACATTGCAAGCGACTTTGTGCTCTAACCTTTCAATTGAACCCGATAATCGATATAATTACTTATTTATATATAGTTAGGGCGACTTTGCTTAATGCAAGATTAAAAAGTTTAGTTTTTCATGAATTATGCGAAAACTAATTAAGTTATCCTTGTAATTTCTTCAGGGATCTATTCACTATTAAATTCTGTATCGAAATATATAACTTCATATCACTAAAAAATGAATTTGTAGCTTTTATCAAGAAATACATTCTTGTAAACAAAAATTTAATTTTTTTAAATAAAATCAAAGTTTAATTGTTCATAACTTTTTATGTAATAATCTAATTTTGTTTATTTTCTCGTCATGAGACCAGGATTTAATCCATAATCAATTTCTGGAAGATTGATAGCTGTAGCTTGAATCGTTTCCGAGTAATTAATTAAAATTGTTGTGATGACCTTATGTGACGTACAAGAGTTCACTGTTTATAGTAATTAATTAATAACTTTATTAATAATCAATTTAAACTGATGATTTCATTAGAAATTGATAAAGTAACAAATTCCACGCTAAATTATATAAACATTTCTATGAAATCACTTTTCAAAGTCAGAAAAAACTGTAATTAAACATAATTTCTTAAATTTCTTATAAATTAAACTTTAACATTCTCATAACTTCGATAATAATAAACACATCAACAAAATTTTAGTGAAATTATGTAAACAATTTATCCCTTAACTTATTAACGCAAAAATTAAACTTTTATGATTTATAGTTTTGATTTTATTAAACAAAAACTAAAATACTGTTGCAAAAATAACAATACGATCACCGAATGTCCTTGTGATTATTCTCCCATTGTTTTTTATCTGAGCAGTTCATTGTTGTCCAACAAAGCGTGAAAGAATACATAAACGATAAGATAACGACAATAATAAGCATTGGGATTACCCAATGATCACGCCTTCAATTCGCACTGCAGTGTTAAGTGTTTAAACGCACTGCAAACACATTATTGAAGCTGTAGCACCGTGTAAACATAGCAACGATACGAATATGTAGATATGACATTCTTAGAATCACGCAGGTTTTTCTCCGAATGCGGAGGAATCACTTGCACGCCCATAAAACACACCGGTGTTTAATTCAGTGTATTCACTTCATTAACATAATTTATAAATAACATGAATGCCTCCAATAAATGCTATAAGTGTTTGTTTAACGTATCGCACAATAATTTACATATTTTAAATTTATACCGAGTGTATTTTTAAATTTTTAAAAGTCTAAGTAAAAAAAAATAAAATTTTAACCTTGAAGATGTTCACAACACGTTATTCAAATCGATTGTGTGGGTTGCCTACGATTACACACTGCTTCCGTATCTTATTGAATTTAAACACGAACTAAAATTTTATGAAACGTAACTTTCACCTGCTTGAATCCATAATGCATAACAACTAACACACTGAACAAGAATAAGTAGGAGTTTGAATAAATTAAGTAAACAACATTAAAATATCATTTTAACAAGTCGTAAGCACTTAAATATTGTGGAATATGTTAACTTTTCATTTGTGCGGAGTGGACACATGTGAAAAGCATAGCAAAGCATAGAAAATTGCAATTTCACACAACAAGTGACATCTATGAGGAAGCGAACCGCAACTGCTCGCAAAGCGCAAGGAAATTTCCTACATTTACACACTTCGCGAACGTGCGCGAACAAAAATTACACCGCTTTGCATAATATTACATATTTATTATTTATATTAGTAAATACTAGGTATTCACGCGCGATAATCAGATAAAACAAACATTAACATTTTAAATTAAGTAGCAGTGGTAGCAGTTTAGTTAATTTATCGCTGGTAATTTAAATAATTACCAGGTTCATTGATTTATTATATTAAAACTATTCTACACTCTTCTATTCAATGAAATAGTTAAATATTTCATTATTATTAGTAATATTGCGTGGGTTGTGTTCACTGATCGGTTCATGAACCAAGCCGACACACATTGCCAACACTGAATTCGAATCAATCATCTCAAGGTTATTAATAAATGTGTGAATAACTTCCAGACCGACACGTTGAATTCTGAGGGCACTAAACGTTAAATTCGCATAAACCATTTATGTATTATTTATTTACGCTTATCTAAGACCACTTTGTGAACTCGCACCTACTTGATACTCGCAGCCACATACAAAATATGAATATATAAATATAGTTCAACTGTATATTCTTATTATTATTAAATGATGTGTATCATTGATTAAGATTTAATGCACGTTGTAAAATTTATATTACCGTATAAATATTTTAGTATCATACAAGTTACATATTTCAATGTCAGGAAAAATATGTACTGTGATTGAGTTGCGGTATAAATATCGAACGCGTATTTTTTAAAAACAAATTCTATTTATATCTTATTGATTTATTTACTTTTTATATTTGCTTGTGATTCATCACTCGGAACTGACTTAAGTGCAATACGATTTATTTAATCGCCGATAACATTTTCAATTGATGTTACGCACGAGATGAACAAATATTAGTCGAGTAAACACCTAATAAAAAAAGAATGAGGTAAACACGATTGTAAAACAGCTGCTATTGTTGTTCTATTATTGATTTCTGCGTATTATTACATCAAACTTTTTTTCTGTTCTAATTAATAACTGATTAGTAAACATTTTATTTATAATTATTGTGTAATATTCACAATATTAATATTTAATTGATATTTTTTTTATTTTTACGCGTAAATTTGGTGAAAATTTTATTAAATAAAATAAAGCCTTAAGGAATTTTAGTACAACAGCAAGAATTGTCATCCGATCTGCCTGCATCCTTACAGGCCGTGATCAACGAACTTTTCGGAATGTTTAAGATTTTTCTGCGCACGAGATGCGGCGATGTGATATAATGCGCATTTAGCGCGCACCGAAGGCGAAAAATTGTTGCAGATTGTCAAAACAATAAAACGCAGCGCAGTGCGCACAATGGAAACGCCGAAATGGCAAATTTTTCTATAAACATTTGCGGTAATATGATCCCGCACCGTTTTCGATGTTCTCATTCACACGATTGCTTTATATTATTACAAATATAAAAAATAAAAAATAAATTACGCCTACCAAAATCAAAAATTCTGGAATATTATAACGGATTTAGCTATAGATGACACACAGGCACTAGTTTGTTTTATTATTAACAATATAAACACAACCCGAAAGCACTTCTTCAAAGCACTCAGCTGTAAACCACACGAAAATAAATGCAGATTTACATCATGATGTAATGTAAAGTGTGTAATGACGCACTTGTAAAAAAGAAACGAAAATCAATTGTGGAAAAAGGGATTCTCCATTCCGGACTAAACGATATGATCTCACATAGGTTCCGTGTACCTATCGAACATTGTCATCTCAGTAAACAATGAAAAATTATTTTTGTAAATTGTATTGAGTTCCTGCATCCGTGAAATATGAAAATTTTAATTTTCCGTTGACGCATTTGCAGTAAACTTATCAATTATGATGAAATTTCAAAAAAATGCCTACTGCATATCTCTTCAGTTACCACACATGATGCATTTTTATCTTATCTGTGCTTATAATATAGATGCAACAGCACGACAGCAATGCGGACATTTCCGGTGTGATCATGTGCTCGCGTTTTTGTACGTGTACGTGTCTTTCATTCTTATCAGTCGTCAAGCGTGCGTCATGCGCTTGCTAGCTGCACGAATTAACTAACAAGTGCGAAAGCACAAAACGACAAAACGAAATAAATAAAATATAGAAAAAGTTGCAGTACTTGAAATGTTTCAACCTCAGTATATACCTACAATTACCGTTACGATTACGCAACTTACGCAACTTTACCGACAAGAATGTCATGTCAGTGATTCATGTTGAAGAAATGTTTTAATACCCGACTCTCTTAATTTCCCAATATTCGGATTAATTTGAGGTTAGAAGCGGCGGCGCTTTACACTTCGCCGAAAACACGTAGTTGTTTTTGGGCAGCACGAGTCGAAAGATCGTATTCAGCGAGCGTAATCGACAATGAGACAGGAAAGATGAATGTGAAATATTAATGAGTCAGGCGGTGTGAGCTCCTGCCGCCGAAGGAATGATTTATTGTAACACTACAATTGAATGCAGTCGGATATCCGAACGTTTTCGTTTGTTCTTCGTGCATTCCAAAGAATTCATTCATGGAAATACCACTTTTACTTTTTATTAACTACGTTAAGAAAAAAAAAACGTATTACGTCTATAGTAATAATATAGTAATCTTAAACAGATTTTTCTATGACTCAATATGCGTGCTCTAGTTTTGTTTTTTGGTCCATTTAACCAAAACAAACGTAATTTTGGGAAATTTCGATTATTCATCAGCCGACCGCGGGACTAATACATCTTTCAACGAAAATATGAAATCTGAGCCTAACATCCAAACAATTTTCCCATTATTTTCCAATGGGTGGTGGTATTACGCAAACATTCCGAGAACACCGACACGTATAGCGTGTGGAAACGCATGGAAATGATGACCCACTGCGAAAGTTCAGTGTCAAGGCCGTCTAACCACCCCCTATGCATCGATTTTCCACCCGGATGACATGAATAATATTCGTCATACTGATTCATGCATATTTTTTGGTCATCTTTAAAACAAAACTTTTAAAAATGTTTTTAAACAAAAAAAACATTTTGGTGATAATAAGGGATGCAATAATCCATATTTAGATGTAAGTATGTTATAGCGACCTAGTCCAAGTAGAAGCGGATGAACCAATAATCAGTGATCCAAATTAATCGTAAGTTAATGCGATGCGGATGTGCGATTAATCGAACCATAAATAGCAATTGCTGCTAAAAATGCCGGCTGCACCACTTAATTGGAAAAGCCGAAAATAGCGGATAAATTAGCGACATTCGTCACGAATCCCACTGTGACGTAGAGGGTTGTCCTGTCATGTGCTGTGGGCGGCTGGCTGAGGATAACGCCAACGCAATGCAGGATGTACTAATATTTTTTTCTTCTCTACTTTTGTTGCAGGTCCTGCGGCGCCAACGCCAAGCTCTAGAGCTACACATCCGCAAAAGGTACGTGCGTGCATTTTTTGATCTGGGACGCAAACCCATATCGCCTATAGACAATAATATCACTCATGACATCTCGGAATGTGCGCCTTTCAGCAACCGTATACCCAGGGTCGCAATCCTGGTTTCGTGTTACACAGTGTGTGGCTCCGAATTCTTATTATGTCTGCCCGCCCCATTATTCATAACATTGACGTTTCGGGACGTGAAAGATTTGCGAGCGGTAAATTGCCAGACGTTTAGTAGACACAGGAAGTGATTCTGAGCAACGCGAACCGAAAAAAATTGATCGAATTTCATCTTTTTTTTTTGCTCTCAACTTGTAGAAAGATGTATTTGATGATTTAATGGCCGGCGAGAGTCATTGTTTTGAACCGGACTTTTTCATTCACTAATAGGCTCGTGTCCTAATCGCATAACAATTAAATTAAATACCTCGTAAAGTAAAACTACGCACATACTTGCGGTCGCGCAAACAAATATGAATAATATTTTGAGTCATCGGCAAACATCCATTGATGAATCTGGATATTTTAAGAAAAGTTAAAACAACGCGCGCTGCGTAAATAAATATAGCGAGAGAGGAAAAGCGGATGTATTGGTAGCGTGCCAAAAGTGTGGGCGATACTATTACTGGTTTCATTCATAATTTCATAAACGTATCAACCACGTTGCACTGAAAGTTAATTTGCATATTTATTGATTTGATAGACATATGGTCGCATAGTGCACAAAAGGCGTTGAAATATCTTAATCAATAAAAATTACAATAAAAAATTTTCAGTGCGTATATCAAAAAAGATCTCACTTTTATACGCGTCCACATAAAACGAAGCGTTGGCACGTAATCGACATTAAATTTTTGTAAGAATTAATGTTTTGTCATTTTAATGTTTCGGGTCGTTTTCGTATATCAACAGAGAGACGCAGAAACATTCCCGGGGCGATGAAACCGAAAAGAAACGCGTCTCTAGATGTTTGTGATTTGCCGCAGCAGAAAAACTTAAAGAATTATGTGCCCTCCCATGCCACACGCATTCCACACGGCAGAAGGGAAATATAAATATATCATTTTAAATTTAAAATAATAATTTCCATTGCGGCGCTTCTCCGCGCGCGACGGACAGGAGAGTGACCCTCATAAATTACCGCTGCTTCTTCTTGAGCTTCGTGTTCGCTGCATAAAATCCATGTTACCGGCCGGTGACAATGCGAAGACTCCGCGCGCGTTTGCTTCCGTCGGTATGTCGCGCGCACACATAAAGCACCTCACCGACCGACCGGCCGGCCGACCGTCGTTGTCGTCGTCGTGTGCAGAAGAGGAAAGAATCCTTGGGAATTATGTTTACACAGATCGGGGCGCGATAACACCGAGCAGGCGCTTCGCTTATTAACATGTCCACCGAAAACCTTTTTTCACCGTTTTTTTTAAGGTTTTCTTGTTCTACAAAAACGCATAATACACTTGCATCACATTATTATCCAATTAAACTAAAATGCTTAATTTTTGACATGTGTTTTTGAAGGTGTCATACTTGTGGTGTCAAAATATTGACGAATCTATAGTGGTTTTAATTTTAAATTTAAATTTTCACTTTTTATTTGGTTTTTTAACTCGAATTGTCCGCAAAAAAAGAAAATAAATGAAGACAATGTTTAATGAAATCTAATGCTCAATCCTTAGGTAAATATAAAGTGATATTATTATGTTACACCATATTACTCAAGTTAAGTCACTTTCCTGACACAGTTTTAGCAGCATCACGTCTAGATCCGGCAGCGTGCAAGGTAAAAAAAAAGCGTCCAAAGTCCGCGCAAGTTTCGTAACTGAAATTGACTCTCGCATTTCTTCGCGCCGGGACATCAAATTGCTGCAATCACCTTGCGAGGTCGCCGGATGATTCATGCGCATTGTTTGTATATTGCTAATATTATTAACCGATGAGCTCTCCACACTGCTAACCAGCGTGCGCGTGTTTGTGTTGTGGCTGGGTGCGCGTGCGTGCACGACTTGCGTACTCACGTTTATTATGCTTCGTACGTTCGCAGTTGTACAAACACACACATGCGCGCGTCGCGCGCGCGCGGTAATACGATTCCGAGTTCGACCGGCGCGAATCGTGACCGAGACCTAGGGAATTCCCGCGTGCTGTGGCCGGTTTCGCGTTTTGTTTGCTCGCTCGATTTCATTCATACGTTTTGTTACACGCCGGGCGCAAACGCACGAAATTTCGTCGACGTCTCAAGTGCAATAAAGCGTTATGCAAACAAGTGTGTTACTAAACACGTTGGAATAGTCGAGAATATGTGGTGAGAAAATAGCAGATGATTTAATCTGTGGGGCACTATTTTTATACTTGAATGCGGAACACACACCTTGACGGAAAATCGGAAATTTTACACAATGGTCACCGAGGAGTGATTTATCGGTTTATTACTGCATTGCAGTTTATGACATTTTGAGTGTTGCTTCATTGCATATTGCACCTATGTTAGCACAAAAGTCACACTTTTCTTTTTGAGTAGTTTTCCATTTTTTTTTGTTCAAAAACACAAAAACAACGTTAAAGCATCAAATTAGAATAGTCACGTTTTCCTATTAAAAATACATTGTCCATGCGACAATACCAATACTACAGCTACCTGGACTTGGTAAAGAAAAGAAAAAAGAGCGTAAAGCAAGCTCCGACAGGTCCAAACACGAAACTTGTTAGCGTGCCACCACACACGCCCGCACTACAAGTGTTAATCGCTTCTTTACGAGAAATAAAATCAAAGAAAATTATAATTCGTCATTAGTCACTTTATCGAATTTTCCGCCATCCGTCAAGTTTTATAATAGTCTGATCCAAAGGTATGCAATTAAGGTAACAATAAAATTACCTGCAAACTAGTCATCACAACATAATAACAGTGTAATAGCGTGAGTGTGGCGTAGGTCTACACTCACACACAGCGCGCACATCGTGACTGCTATTACGTGTATCGGTTAAAACACATACAAACAGAGCGCCTGGAGTCGTAATCAAGTTGATTCATCCATCCAGAGACTCCTGCCAGAGGAGTCATATGCGCTCGCTCGACGGTTTAGTCGCTGCCCGACATTCCGGTACGATACAACCCTCTGGTTAGCTTCCGGGAAATCATCGACGACGAAGAAAAAATTGCACCACCTTGGCGCTCTTGGTGTGTGTTCCGAAAGGTGTTCGCGCGCTCACCACGTCATGCGGGAGTTTCTTGCGCGATTACGCGGAAATCCAGCTGGCTCACTAGTTTTCGGGCGAGCCGCCGCGCGCCTCGAAGAATCCCACTCTGAGACAGTGACGTCACGAGTGCGCCCGACTTAAGTCTCGCGCGTGTACACTCGGAGAGCCGTTTTATGAATGGGAAATGGTGAGAGGAGGAGGAGGAGGTTCTTGCGCCGGATCCACCTACATTCTCTCAACGCGCACGCCGCGTCCTGCGTGCGTTCGGCCGCGCACCCGAACCGGCAGATATTACCAGATATATAGTGTTATGTTGTCAGTTGTTGTTACAACCGGCGCGTGAAGTGTTTAGTGCTTAAGCGGTACGCGTGCTATCGTCTCTCTTGATCAGAGCGCGCCGATCATCAGCGAAACTTGAATCAAAAACGAAATCAAAAACCGAAAATGGTTGAAAGTGTTGCGCATAATTACACTATCAGTGGACATCTGATAGGCATGTTGGATCGTGACCAGCGAACGGTCAACCGTAGAAAGTTGTCGACGGGTGACTTGTTGGACGCGTGCCCGGGCTGCGTGTGCATAACGCGCGCATCGTTAATCAGTGAAAATTCCCAAGTGGAAAATCCGACGGCGGGCAGATGCCCACGCTGGAGCATGCAAAGTAAGTAGTAGTTGTGTTACTCGCGGAGACTTTGACGCTGGCACAAGTCAGCAGCCGCCCCCCGCGATTCCTGCGAATGGTCGCGTCTATTGAATCACACTCGGCCGGGGCAAAAAATCGTAAACGTCGATTACGACACCCAGCATGTGACTAACCGTGGCGAGTGTGCCTTAGGATCGATTTCTGTCGTGCGTGTGAAAATATTTGCGACGCGCTGGCCCTTTTATCACGGCCGGAGCGCGAACGCTCCAACGATAATAGTAAATCACATGAGCGTGGCGAAGCGATTAGCGCTCGCGCGCGAGACTTGTGCACCTTTTGCAGTTACATAAATTGTTGTGGTAGCTGTTTGGAAAAATGCACCGCGCAGCCACACAGCTGATACGGCACCTGTGCGTGCCTGCGGACAATGCGTGTGTGTGGCGATAATTTTTCCAACCGCGGCGAAGTAAAAAATGTCGTCAATTGCAGGATCGCAATCGCATTAAGGAAAAGACGCGCGCAATTAATGGCCATTATGTCGGTAAAAAGAGTCCGCTAACTATTTCGCAATTATAGAAAATATCGAATTAATTCCTTACTGTTGCGCACACACAAGAGAAGCGCGCGCGCCAACCGCGCTCTCAACGAGCATCCTTGAAGCAACAATCGATGCGCATGCTAACACACTGGCAGCAACAAAGTAAAATCATTTTTCGATTTCGACATGCTCGCGACATGTGCTTTCGAGCTTTCGTCAAGCAACAGGTCAAACGCACATTAAATTTTCTTCTCACGCTATGGCGCCCTTTCGGTGTGTTTGATGTCCGCATACATCCACAACTCAACACGGCTCGGGATACTTCTATTTGTACAAGACTCAAGTGTCACTGTCATCTTTTCTCATTTTCTTCATCTTACAAAGCGATGTTAATTACTCGACCCAACTTAATATGTTTGTTATCCTTTTATCCTTTGCAGGAGTAAAAAAGGTCCTTGCAGTCGTCACCTATTTACTGATAGTCATACCGACGGTCTTGTCAGCACCCAGCGGCAGCATGGAGCAACAACAGGAAGATCCCTTCTGGGTACTCAATGAGAATGTGCAACCGGAGGATAATATCACGCAAGCACTCAAAGCACAGCTGGCGAAAACCATCCAGACGCAGGCGAAGATCGCATGCAACAAAGCCAATCATTCCCTTGAAGAATACACGGTGAGTTTTCGCCGCACATCCTGTAGGAATCTATATAACTAATTAGTATGCGCCGGCTAGTCACACCATCACGGCCCATCACGGCCTGATGTCTGATTACACACTATCATATTTTTCTTCTTTGTTCGCCGTCTGCGTCGGATATAAATAACTCGCGTCTTTATCACATCCGGTGAAATTTTCCGGCCGGTGTGCGCACGTTCGATTTAATAGCAGACGTATTGTATTGTATTGTCTACTCTTCCGATGACACCTATATTTCATTAACAGGATCGGACTTGATTGAAATAATATTCGCAAAAATATGTTGAATACTAAAGTGCATATGCATTGGTGTGAATTTTGTTGAAATGTGTAGGCATGTGGTCGATTACATATTTATATTTTGAAACCGGTACGGTCGTGCGGCGCACGTTGGAATCGAATGAATGAAATCGCAATCGGGCACACACGAGCACGCGAGTGTGTTCCTCCCACGCGGGTGCGCGCACCGAGAGTGTGCCAGTGCCAGGTGCCTGCGACCCGGGCGTCAGGCAGTCTGCGAGGCTGAGACGACGCGTCGCGATATAGAAATTACCCAAGCATCAGGTTTAATCAGTCAGACAGGCGCAAACGCAACGCAACCCGAGCCCCCAACAAGGTCGATTAATACCTACTACTAATATCTTCAACTCTTATCGGGTCGCACTTAATCAGCGCTTTCCTTTCGCACCTGCACACCATTTGCATACGCGCATTTTTCTCTATCCCACATTTCTCCTTTCGCGGAGAGAGTGAATAAGTGCTCTTGTTTGTGCAGCGATTGCGACACTGGCACACACGTGTTCCTACACAGTACATTCATGCGCGGGCAACAAGTGGTTTCATAACATGCAGCAGCACATCTCAGGTTACTTATATTCAAAAATTTCCGTTGCAGAAAAACCAATTCAGTATGACACCGGAACAAGTCCATCAACGCTATAATTCTACATCGTTTGATTGGTTACCTTCCAAGTCGGACATACCGAAACAATTTGGTACGGATGTAACTGATGGGTTCACACGTACGGTAAGTCAAAACCATCAAAAAACTCAAAATAACCAAAAAAACTATAAAATTTTTAATAACTTCAGATGGAAGAAGAAATGATCCACTTGTACCATCAATTCCAAAAAATCGGCGTGGGTATCGAACAAATCGTCAGTGAATACAACAACTGTACACCCAATAATGGTGCTGATCAATCAGTCTGCATCAACTTCAACAATATGCGTCAGGACCTCACCACGCTCCTACGCGAACTCAACATGAACATTGGTACCCTCGGTCTGGTTCGCAAGCCAGACGTTGAACGAGATATCATGCCCGATGAGGATAGACAAGTTGATGAAACAACGCGCAGAATACGCAACTGGGTGATCTACCGTGACTACATCAACGCCCTGGAGTACACCATCAAAGCATTCGAGACGCACTTCTGAGAGGAGGCCCTACTGGGCGAGCGCGTTACACCGCTCGTCCTCGATCTACGATCGCACACTTCCTTCGACTAGAGACATATCTCCCTATATTTACATTCTACCTATTTATTGCATCGCGTTGTTCATTTTCTTACATAACATTTTATTTATTTGACGTGTCGAACGAAAATATTGTAAATATTTATTCGATTAATTTATATACATATATATATTTAAAAATGGCGGCAAGTAGCAAGCGAGAAACACTATTAACATTATTTTGAATTGTAATTAAGACCGTAGTTAATATTTATTAATTTATATCTACTATATTTAGCGAATGACTCTATTTACGATACGCGAACTATGTTGAAACTCTTTATGACTGTATATAATCGCTAGGATAATTAGCAAACGTGTGCAGTTGTTGTAGCTACTCTAGTACCATAATACACACACCTGCTTTCGAAGACGGATGCTGATGCAGGCGTTTGATCATGGACGCCACACACACACACACATTTACACACTCACTCAGAAAGGAGTATTTCAACGCGACCCACACACTTATTTGATTTGTGTTGTGTTGTGTACTTGACACTTGTTGTGTTACTTTTGATGCACACCTTCAATTGCGGGTGTCCATCAAAACGAAATCAATAACAGACAGTATTTGACTTGGCAGTTGTATGATTTATACTGTGATATTAGAGCACATTAATGAAGGAATATTTATTGTTATTAAATGTATACTACTTGTTTATTTAATGCGAACGTGTGCGAGTGTTTTGAATCCTTGAATCTCCTCGTTTTGCAGCGCGTACTGTAGGATAAGTTATGATTACTTGTGGGCATTTATATTTATTGCACCATAACGGCAACGGCGGTAATTTATGATTTGATGTTGCCGCTGTTGGCGCAGTCAGTTAGTCAGCTTTGAAATTTCACTTTATGACTATTTACAGGGTAGTTGGGCATAAATAAACATCGAAAGTGTCATTTTTATTTCACTACTTTACCAATGACACTAGCCTTTCACTATTTTCGTACACGATTGACAGACGGTTTATTGCACACAGCGCGTAGTTGAAGGTCTTGACGAGTGTGTAATAACTAGTTTACCTGGCGTGGTGCTTTGTGAAGATTTATTGAACATCGACAAGAATATTCGTGTTTTCTACATTCTACCGGCGTTGAAACAGGGAGAAAGAACGAAATGTAGATCGGATGATAAGCCACGCGCATTCCGACCGTCCGGCATTGTTTAATTTCGGTGGTTGCGGCCTCGCATTGATGTCGTCGTCGTCGACGACGCTGAGAGCGAACCGAGTGTGACTCAAGCACGGCGCGTCTGAGCAGGCGCTAGGCGCTTTTCGTGAGAACCTGCCGGCGCGTTCGCGGAATGGACGCGCGCGCCGGGCAATGACAGATCACCTTGGCATTGAACACCAAGCTGAACGCATTTGAGTTTTCGAGTGTCGGCATGCTCGCAGCCGAACATTAATTCCGCGCTGTTTATTAATTGTCCGCATGGGTCGGAAGTGACGCAAACGACTCACAATATTGACCCACACACACACAGAGAGATATAGAATATATTCATAAATACCTTGACACTTGGGGTTTTTTTCTTCGTTTCTGGATCGCTTCATGCACAGGAAGACAATATTGACTCTGGTGATTAGTTCAACTGCACCAAATTTACTTATTGTTGTAACCGTTAAGTTGGAGATGATTTTTTGTGACTTCCTGGTGGCATTGGGACTTCTGTCGGGTGCAGCCCATTGATAATCGTTGGAATTATTGATCACATGCGCCTTCGCGACCGGTGGGACGGCAGGAAATTAATTAATTTCGAATACTCGAGATGCCACCACGTCGTTGGCTCGTCTCGATGCCACCGATAGGGCGACAAACGCCCAAGTAGCGATGACCACTGTCGATAACAAGGAGTCTAGTCTGGTGCGGCCGTCAATTATTACCGATTGGACATGTGTAACTTATATGTGTAACCCTTCCCAGCACACACACACAGGTACAGCTAAAGCAACAGAGAGCAACAGGTAGTTTTTAGCGCTGCGGTGCAAAACCAATAAAAACAGACACGAAATATTTGCATGAACACAGCCACTACATACCTTACATGTGTAAACTTGTAACTGGCACCCACAATAAAAAAGCAACAAGCTTTAAAACGTTCAGCAACAAGGGTTAATCGAAGCGTGTGATCTTGTTACGACCGGCGCTTGCCGCAACTTTTCTTAACCTCGAAAAAAACAACACAACTACAATACCTAAACTGATTCATAGAGGTCACCGCAAACATTCCGCACGGTGTGTTTATTGTTTGTGAAAACAAATAAAACAAAAACAGTTAGACACTTTTGCGAGAGATCATTGAAAATAAACCAATTACAACAAATTAATATCCGTTAGCGTCATGACGAAAAGATTCAAGTTATAATAAACGCTCGCGTTTGATTATTTTTACGTCGTTACGCGCATGTGTAGCAACTGTGTCGCGCTGGGTTTGTTGTGAGATAATTTGTGTCTCGTCTCGATTCTTTTGCTCCAACGGCGGAGTTATGAGTAGCAGGAACTAATTTTCGTGCGTATGTATCGCAATGTGAAAGAAAATTGTTTGTTTGCAGTGCGTTTGTATTTCGTTTGTCTTTGATATTTATCTCGACTTTTAATTGTCCGTTATTTTAATTACGGAATTACTGCCCTGTCCTCTATGTATTTTTTCCGACGCTCAATTGGCCGGTAATTGCATTTACGTTTTCTTTTGTTCTCGAAGCGCGGCGACAAGACGTGTACGACAAGAGTCTCGCAGCAGATTGCGTCAAACTCGATCGCGCTACTACAGGATACGCACCGAAGAGAATAAAAATTAAGTTAAGTAAGGAATTTTTATTTTTATTACATGAAACTTCAATTACCTATTTATTTATTGTCGTTTTGCCTCAGATCCTGATGTTGGCAATAAAAACGATTTGTTTGTGTGTAGAAAAAAAAATAATGTTACTTCGTTTCTCATTTGGGACCCCTGCGGAATCGATTTACACAGTGTCGGCACATGAAGAGAGCGCCCAAAGATACGCCGATATTTGAACACATTATGGACGGATTTCCATTGGTGATTTATGACTTTCGAGATTGAGTGATAATGCCCCGAACGCTCTCTTCGCGCCGAGGGAGATTATGCGCATTTGAAAAGGCAGATTATTTCTGTTTGGCACACACAAACTGGTTCTCGCTCACATCGTCGCCGGTCGTCCGTCCGGCGAAACAAAGCGCGAGCCGTGTTTATGTTATTGCATCCACAACGGCCGAAAAGTGCAACTTGGAGTGCCACCAAACAATGACTTAAGCCGCCCTTCGAAATGCAAACGCAAATTTCATCAACAATGCGTATACATTTCGGGTGGTGTTTAATCTATGTTCATCCCCCATTGCAAAGTGCTTCTGGGTTTTACCATATTCCAACATTCAGCTACTGTAATCCCTCAAAAGGGTTACAAGTTACATTTTAAAAGACTTAAGTCATTTATGATCTCAATATACAAATACAAATCCAATATAAGTGCCCATCCTAAGATGACTTAACGAAATAAAATAAAATTATTCACAATTAACATGTTTGCGGTTGCAATTACGTCTGACCTACATTGAATTTACCGAGCAGCAGAATTTGAAAATGTGAACGGAATCTAGTCGCGACTCGTGAGTTGGCGAACGTGCCGTGCGATGTCGGTGTGCTCCGGAAATACCACGCACGCTCTTAGAACTTAGAACCGCAGAAAGTACGTTGCACATGCGCAAATGCGCAATCTAGACGCCAGTGGGTCGATAATAATAATAACCGCATGACACCACATTATAATATACTAAATGTTAGTGAAAAACGCAAGAATTTCATTAAGTCACTCCTTGTTATCACAATGATACACTGATAAAACATCTAAATGTAATCATCACTTGATTATGTTGATTTAGACAAGCTGGTTTCTATTGACTAATAAGTTAGTAATTTTTATTGTATTTTGATCATGTGTGGCGCCAGACCAGGTGAAATCGCAGATTTTCCGGGTTTTGAGAGACGCTGTCATTGTTTGGGCGGTTTATGAATGGAAACGCAAATTGAATAGGCCCACAATGCGCAGATGCATTCCTAACTTATGGATATTAGGCGGTTGTTGGTCGGTTTTGAATCGCCTGGCATTGTTCCCATCATTCAAGAGGGTGTGAATTGAATAGGAGCGTTTTTGGACGCTTTTATCTTAAAGAATCAGAAATCACGAGTGGTGCACAACCACTCCGCAGTGAGAAGAATAGAAGCTGGCCTAATGTCTGTGTGACGTGGCGTCGCATTGACTGCGCTTTTCGCTTTGAAACGCCGCGCAAAGATTGCTGATTTCACAGGGGGTTGTTTGTATGCGCCCGCCTCCGGCGAAATATTTACTGCAGCGGCCATTTCCTGACGTCTCACTTTGTGCCCCGATGAGAGATTCATTCAGTGGCGCTACGGTTCATTCATCCGCCCGAGGTGGAATGCAGATGCGACGGACCTACCACGAGAGAGGTGCGATCTCGTGGTGTACGGCGCTGGCCATCACGAGGTGTCACTTCTGGCACCCTCTTTAAGCTGGACACCAGGTAGTTGCGCATTAGTGCGCACACATAAATACATAAATCTACTTGTCACTAGTGCGCTTTGGACAGCACACCCCAAAGTGGAACAATGGCCGGAAAATTTCGATGCCTCCCTTTGAGGAGTAAATATTTGCCGATCGGATAGCGCTTCAGTTCTGAGGTGATTTACAAGATTTACAACTAGATGCTGAATCACCGAATATAACTGCTAACAAGAGGCGCGCAAAGCAGTCGAAACAGGGGCGTACCCAGTAATTTTACACATCAAGACCTACCATTTGAGTGTTTGTTGTGTGTGCAGGTGGGACTGGTACACCACTGCGTTGAGGTTACCCAGGGAGGTCCCGAGATTTATGTGCGGCACGCCGTGGCGACGCGACGCGCACCGAACGGGAGATCGGGAACAATAAAAAACGCGTCTCAGCCGTGCGCTATTGTCGTCGTTTCGCGCTTGCCGCGCTGCTCGCCTATCGCCCAATGGATCGTTGATGTATGCACGGACCGTACCAAAATGGTAGTCGCCTCGTCGACGCATGGCGTGAAGAGTTGCATGGCGATTTGTATTATAAACAAGTCGCATTCGCGGTCACGTAGCCAGGCGGTGTGCGAATCTTGCGGAAACAACAAAAATCATACACGCTTGACGCTCGGTTCCCGCACACCTCAAAGGGGTCCGAACCGTAGGTACCATTTGTTTAGTTATACTTTGCATGTGTATATATATATACACAACGTGAGACCCGGAGGAATGCGCGAAAGGTGATTGAGCCGTCACCCCAGCGGGGGTGTCGGGTTGATAACGAGGTGAGGCGACCACCCGACGCACGCCCGCCGGGTGACAAGGGATGCGCGATAATAAAGTGCGCGTCGCAGGCGCGCTCAGCACGCCACACCGGCTGCAGGTAGTCCGTCGTCCGTTTCGAACACCGTTTCGTAAAGCGTCCTGCTGTGGCGGTACCGCTTTGGAAATCGAGCAACCGAGGACCGCCGGCGCCATATCAATCCCCAGCCATACGAGGTGTGACCCTTGAAATTAATATTTCACTCGTTTTACACCCTGGAAAATATTTCGCCGGCGTTCAGCCGGAAACTGGCACAACGTGGGAATGCGATATGTGTGTGTGTCACGTCAGACCACACGTGCTGCCTTAAACAATTCGAAACGTCTCGGGGCCACCTCAAAATCGAAATCTCGCCGCTGAGCCGGTAATTATCGTCTCGGCCGCAACGCGACCGCGACCAACCACTAGTGCATCAATATAAACAAGTTAATGTCTTTATTTTAACTAGAGACGCCGCGCTCCAGCTCTCCGGCTTGGCGTGCGGAGATAAAACGATAAACGCGCTTGACGGTCGCGGCCCATCTCTCGGGCCGGCGTAAAAACGGACGTGAAAACAAACGTGAAAACGAGTCGGGTGTCTAATTGGGGGTCTCATTATACACCGGCGTTGAGCGTCCGACGGCCGGGCGTGCAAAAGGGGACCACCCTACAAATTACATGCTGCGTTACAACCGGTTGTAAATTTACTTCTTTTTACAGTTTTCGCCTTTTTACCGCCTCGCTTCCGACCGAATAACACAATTGTGTTATTTCTGCACTCTCAAATCCTCCACCCAGGTGATCCACAATTCATCGAACAACATTTTACATCTCTATTATTTCCTATCCGAAAAATCAATTCGACATACCCACTTTGTCACAAATAGGCACAAAATAAATAAATACTTCAATTTTTCTTTATGCGAAACTATTCTAAACTCTTTTATGCACAAGTGCAACAACATTGTGGGACATGTTCACACGCTGCGCAAGTCAAAAATGAGATGATCCATGAACCATGCAGGATTGCCAAACGAAACAAAGAGACGGCTTAAAATTAAAAATTAGCAATGGTAATATGCGAGCGTAGAATAATGAGCGTGCTGCACATGCCACACGCGTTCAGCAACACACATGAATACATCGTTGGCGAATGCGGCGGACGTTTTCGTATTTTCCACCATAATACTCCAGCCGTTGGGTTGGTGTACCAACGGTCCAATCGGCGATCGGCTTGGGCCGTGGCTATGCCACGACTCGAACGTAAATATTATTATGTATACGATTCGCACACATGTGCACAAGAGTACCATCACTTCTGCAGAGTTACATCTGCAACCTGCGTTCAAATTTTTACTTTCGATCCAACCCATGCCTCATTATTATTATTATTAGTATTGACTTAAGCCACAACTGTACTCGTATGTGTCATTAACCGATCAAGTTTTCATTTCTTTTCGCACCACAGGTATTTTTCTATGTCTTATAGGTTGACAAATTGCGCCTGATTGCTTTTATTCACTTCCCATGGTTTATGAAAAGTCGTTGAAAGCTGGCCGACGGTTGTTACCTGCACGCGACGACGCTCTAATCGGTTGAAATCGATCGTTATTTTACATTTACTACCATATAATGTTATTTCGTTGATATTGTTATTGTTTATCAAACAGGGAAGAAAATACGTAAATCCGCGCGGCACGGATGTGGGAAACCCAATGCGCATGAATGAATCGAATTTGTTACGGTATTAAATTAGCCATCAACACGATAGACGCATAATTATTATGTAAATGATTGAGCGGCGAGTTAATTTATTTATGATTTCAACTACTTGGGAAATTATAAAGGCCCGCTGTGTGTGTTTACGTTCATTGCACTTCTATTACACTTTACTATGCACTATTATTAATAGCATGCCATGAAGTGTATACTCCCACTCTTATGAGTTTGTTAAAAATGATGAAAAATGAGTCACATGCGAATCGCATGCGGATTTAAGTGTTCCGTTCCGCATACCGCGTACATCCGAATGTTTGTACACTTACTCTGATGATGACGATATAATAGTAAATGTATGTCTATCTATGGCCATTTCGCTACGACGAAATCTAAAAAAAGAATAACACGCACTCAATGATTACTTAACAGTGACACTTGATAGTAAAACATGATGTGACGGTATCGTTTCGCTGATGCAATCAACGATAAAATGTATGACGGCATTGCTAGTGGCGATAACACACGCAAAATGCATTCTCCACTCAACACGTCGATTTGCATTGAACTTGTAAACAAATTAAATTGTTATTTGCTGTGTGGCTGCTTTGGTTTAATTATTTAATCATAGGATTTTCCGTTTTCTTTCAGGAAGCACAAAATCATGCCCAACAATGATCCAAATATTAGTCATACATCTTAATAAGTTATATCATATTGTAGTTAACAATATTGTTCACAATAAATTACTATATAAGTAGTTTTAGCCGTCTGTATGTATACAATTGTTGGAATGATTGTAGAAATAACCGCAATGACGAAAGTTGTGTTTCGTGGTATAATGTCGAGCGCGGGAATCCACTAGTGTTTGTTTTCGTGTGTTGTCTGATCGTCAAATGCCAAGCGGAAACTGTTCATTCCAAGGATGACTCATTAAAATCCTAAGCGCAATTCGGAATAATTCGATTTGATCAAATTACTCCGGATTAAAAATAAGAATTTTTTGCATAATAAATAGCTATATTTGAACTTGAAGGTAAATATTACTCATATGCACATCAATGAAAGAAAAAGTAACAAAATAGTCAAATGATTCAACAGTTGTGCTAACAAACCACGACTACTGCGTGGTGTGTTTGAGGTGGTGAGAGCACTGATAAGCGTATGATTCATATCATTCATATGTGGTACATTGAATAAGATATTGTAGAAAAATAAAAACTTTTCACCGCGCAGGTTGACATTGAAAAATCACAGCGCGTTGAGACCGTGTGGGACGTGGGTGCACATTCCAGATGTGTCCGAACGATTAGCGCTGACAGCCACCGGCGGCTGGTTAATGGCGCTCCGCGCGCATTTTAACGAAGCGCCCCCCAATCCACCCTCCGCGAATGCCGCTCGCGGCCGCTAATGAGACCGCCCTGACTCGATTTCACCTCACCTCGAGAGTTGCAGCCGCGCGAGCTGCATATGCATGTCGCATGCATGGCGTGATCCATTACCGGATTCATTAAGACCGACCTAATATGACATGATTGTCTCCGCCGTCTCCGCGTGGACGCAGCAATTACATATTCTACGGCTATTATTTCAATTTATGTACGACACGCAAGCTGTACTTGAAAAATACTCATTATTTTACATACGGTGCTGCAGGAGTTAAAAAAATCGTCAAATTGCTAGTAATCTTGCAAGTCTTTTTACTTTTCTTCGTTTTTTTTCTTCTCTTTTACTCCGAGTAAACATTGGAAATAAGCATTACGATGGCCAAGTATTCGATTCATGGGAAAATCCTGTTGAATCCTTATAATTCAGGACGACTGCTTCTCCTTCTACAAAGGACTAGTGGTTACTCACAATGTAACAAACGAAAAAGTTCAGTTGTGATCCGTCCGCGTCGAGTTTATTTATAATGGCGCTACGTTTGTCTCCAATCGCGATTAAAAACTTTGCAGTTTAAAGTTGCCAGCAATGATAGCAAACATCAGTGACGTTGTGGTGTGTGAACATCCTTGTTGGCGTTGGAGTTCAAATCCGCTTCATTCATAAAACTGTGATTTGTTTGCTTAATATGTAGTTTATTGAAAGTTGTAATTTTTTTTCGTTAAACACAAGTTTATGGTGAGTTGTTGCTAAGATGGCAAAGAAAGTGTGATCTAGTTTCCGCTCTCATCATCTGATGAGGTAATCCTGCCTCGTGCGCTCCGAAAAAACCTCGCGCAACTTTTTTTCTAATTAATATTCGATCGTGTTAATAAGTTGCGAGCGAAAGAAATGAAATGAAAGAAAAAGAAATTGTTCTTATTTTCGACTGAATGAGGCATGACTAAATGTGCGATGACGTCAACCCACTCTTCGTGAGTGAGTCGAAATTCTTCACCTGCGAGTTTCATCAGTTGATGTAAGTTTGTGCTTTGTGCCGCGTGCGGTATTACATCCCGGATAAATGAAAAGTTCGCAGTCGGCATATCCGTATCGGTGGTTGGCAAAAAAATTTTGTTTGGAAAAAGCCGCGTGGTGTTGCGGGGAGTTGACGCAGGATCAACACTTCATGAATGAACCGCGTGCGGCGGGCAAGCGAGCCGGCGGGCGCGCACGCCGGGAGTGGGGAGGTGTAACTTACCTACTTAAGTAAGTTTGAATCAAACCTAATAATTGCATTTGCGAGCAACGAGCCGATGAGCGTCGCGCTGAGGTGGTGTGCGCATCACGTCAACTCCTCAGAACAAACAGAAGAGAATCGTCAATCAACGCGGAGTGACTTAACTTATAAGTGACTTAAACTCACCTCAATATTAACTTAATAAAAACACTTGTGATTTACCAGTGGTGATAAAAGCCGATGTTATTCACGGATTAATTAAGGATTTATCTTGATCAACTTGCAATGAAACTAAGAGGTTAGTATTTATTTGTGTGTTTTCATGGTGTGTTGTTACTTGAGTCCAGATAAGAGCAGTTTTATCGCGGCGGCGTTGTGGAAAAAAAGTGCGCACAAGAGCAAAAATCCACGGCGGTGTTGTTGGTTTTTGGCCACGGGTGACTCCGGTTGAGTATTGGTAGCGGGTACCCGTACTCACCCGGAGCCCGATGCGGGCCAGTCAGTCGGTCCGCAACCGTCGTGCCATTCGCTCTCAAATCAAATACGCGACACACAAAATTTCGGACGCAACTCTGCTCTCTTACCCGACTTAAGTAATATTACGCATAATTAGTGGTATGACCGCGTGGACATGTGTCACAGAACCGATGACTCATCGTCCGCACGCTGTTTGCCGGCGGTACCAAAGCGTCGTGTTAATTGCTCAACGTTATCCACAGATTTCTCAACCACGAGCGTCCTTCTGTGGGTAGTCCTGCTGATCCACACAGCCCAGGCGTATGATGTACTCACATGCGTCAAGAGTGCGCTTGGCACATCCGATTGCAACCCGCAGAGAAACACAAGATCCGCGGACGTTCAGTTGACCACCAAGGAAATCAATGATTCCGTCAACATTGCTGTCAATTACATCGTGCGTTATGAAACTGCGTTCCGGTGTATTGGGACGTTCAACGCTGAAGAAGTCCTCAACACAACAGTAGCTTCCAATGCTTCGAATTATTTAAAAACCATCAATCGAACAAACAACATCAAGAAAGCGTTTATGCTACTGGGAGATCTCGGGGAGTACATTAAAGAAGTGGAGGCGAAAACAAGAGATAAATATTATCAGATGATTTTGTGTGATATGGCATCGCGTATTCAAGCCACGCGATTGATTACTTCTTCAGCGAATCTTCCAAACAACTACACGCGCCTCAAGGATGAATTCAAAGTGAATGACAGTGAAACAGAAGAGAATCGTCAACGTAAAGTGATCTTCACCATTTTCGCGCAGTTGTACACACGATTGGGGAAGTTAATCAATGGCACAGTGAAGAAGGAGCATCGAAGAACAAACATCAAACGAGTAGACATCGAAGCTGAGAAATTATCAGCTATCTACAAACAGAAATATCACAATATAACTCCGCAGAGAAAGAAGAAAATTACACGGAATTATTGTAATCTTTTGGAAGAAATGTACGCGGTTCGACAAATGCTCCAAGGAAAAGTTTCGACGGAGAAAATAAATAATAAAATGAACAAAGTGAAACAAATCATAGGATCAGTTCGACGATTTACAAAGAGTTACAAAGGTGGCTGCAAGAAAATCCAAGACAAAACGCAAAAACGCCAAAAGAACGGATGCAGAAAAAAGTACTGCTGCGAGAGTGATACCGTGATACCGTGCCTGCTTGGAAAGTACCAAGAACTTAATAATAAATTATACTGTGAGCTTGCCAAGACACCGGGACAATCGGTAAAATCAATTAAACGATTCAAATGTTAGAAATGCTAAAGTGTTTAGTGCAAAACGCGACGAACAAAAACTTTTATTCAAATTTTGTGGCATTCTGTGATACTAGTTCGTAAGAGACAACTTTCCAAAACTTAAGATGCAGTATTGTACAGTTCCTTATTATTATTGTTTAATTACGAATTCGCGACGGTGATTGACAACGCCGAAGTGAATTTCTTTTACTTACTAGATGTTTAAATATTTATTCTATTTAATTATTTATGTAAATTATGAACGCCATGTGCTTATTTAACACGTGATCAGTATTTATTTTGTAAAAACAGTCACATATTTATATCGCCAGTGTATAATTTATTGATAGCAGCTGACAATGACAATAACTTACTCTTGAATAACGAGAGTGTGATTTTGTTACGATTCTTTGCCATAGACTTATACAAATTGTACTTATTTTTGCTGTTTTTTATCGAAAATGTTGGAAAAATTTGATACAGCGTGTATTCTGACGAGAGATGCAAATCTTAATATACATTTTGAACATATATTGAATGTGTTTATTTATAACGTAATGGAAATGAATTAATTATGTTATATTGAATGCTAATTTCCATTTCATCGTGTTGCGGTTTGTCGCGGCGCAGATATTCCCGCGATCGCGGCGATTATCAATCACCACACGACGATGAATTTGTTATTCCCCGTTTACGCGTCACTGTCCGACGGTAAACGAATGCGTTCACGCCAACAGGTACGTAACAACAGGTAAGTATTAAGTATATACTTACTTACGGTAATAGTGTAAATGTAACATTGCAAATGTTTCAATGTCGCGAAATAAAAATTCCCCTATATCCCCGATTGAATTGCGCACGTTGTTTATTATGTCGGTGTAGTATAATTAATGCAGTTGGAAGGAACAAGTGAGTGCATTTGCATTCGTATCAAAACAACTTTCAATGTGAATTTTTAAAGTCACTAGAGTCCTCTAGCGGTCGTAAAGAAAACAAATTCCTATCATATAAGAATACAGGTTACTTGAATACCCTATTTGTGTAGCTATTCGAGTTTCACGAAGTGTCTAACAGAGGGACACGGCTAAAACACGGTAACTACTTTTACAGATTCTATTAGTACCAATATTCACAAACAGAGGGATTGTATACAATATGTACACAACATAACAAAAAACTTAGAAAAGATTATCTAACAAGTCGTAAATTATTATCGACGTCAAGTCTATTAAAAGTAATAAAACTCAACAATAAAAATTTAGTTACGCGTTATCTAACAACTCCTGCTTGCCGAGGTTTTGTGGATAATCATCGAGGAAGAAGCCTCTGCAGACCTTTGACCTCAGGTCAAAACTAAACTTTCACTTGCCGGAAATTCTATACTCATCTCATGCACACATCTGACAATATTTTCTACCTACGAGTACATTTACATAATAAGATGAACACGTTTGATCTTTTACTTAACTCTACCTTTTCGTGCAACAAATTGCACTGGATTAAAACTTCTTAAAACTAAATTACTTTTGGTTGTAAAGAGATAATCCTATAATTTACAACTTTGAAGAAATCATAATATTTGGTGGACAATTGATGGAATTATTCTAATACTAAGTAGCTTAAGCTACCGGGCAGCTTAAATATTTAATCCTTTATTGCAGACGAGTTTAAGTCGAATATCTATCACAATATGACTTAAGTCATTTAACGTTAATCCCTTTAAATGAGCAGAAGGAAAACCTGACGCTTTTGTATGCAAATATGAGCGATATAAATGATTGTTACTGAGCTATTACGTGCACTTTTATTATTTACGAGCAAATCCAATTGAATCGTAAACATTCGCACTTTTGCGCGGCGTGTGCTGATATCGCACCATCGTAATCGCTGTATTAAAGTTATAACATAATAAAAGCGCGTGCTGCGGTTGAATTTTCACCGTGTAGATCTATACATTACGCATTATATAAACGTAAAAAACAGCGTAAATTTATGCACGAACGTGCGGCTGACAAAAATTGAATTATTAGCGACGCGCATGTGCTCGGAGCAATGAGGAAACGATTCGTCTGATCATCGCTATTAGTTGATCATTATTTATACTAATTTAAGTTTCAAGTAAATACCATGTAATTAAATTAGCAAAACTCATTAATCTTTATTTATCGTCTTTTTCTTTTTCTTTCTGAAGATAAAATTAAGTTTAATTTAAAAATGCGTCAATGAAATGACTTTTTTTTTATTTGCCTAAAAGTTGTATAATTTCAGAGTGGCGTTGATGTCATTGCTTCATTTCTTACGAAGTTAAATAATAAATAATAATTTCAAATTTGTTGTGTTTATTTCATAGTTATTTGCAATTACATAAAATTTGATAGTTTTTTTTTTGTGTGTCGAAGACTTAAAATCACACTTCTGTCTTTTTTCTTTTTTTCTTGAGATGATGAATCTTGTTTGTGTTAAGATTGCAGATTTAAACAGTGTTAAGAAAGTGAAATGAAATGAGGAAGCAAGATCCATACTTGCAATTGAATTCGGATTGGGCAATGAGTAATTAATGTCTTTAAACTTTAACCAATTTAATGAGTAATGACTAAGTAATTTAATTAAAGCTTAAACTTTCTTAACTGTTTGATTCAAACGTATGGTAATCTGTGTTTAATCAAAATTCAATTTATTTTATTTATTAGCGTTTTTCTATAGAGACTGTTACGTATGTCCAAAACCGCCTACCATTTATATTAATTTTTGATATTAATATATTGCCATGGTGTTAATAGGCTGCGCATCGATAGGAGTTGAAGACTTCCTTGTGAAGACAGTTTTCCAGTTGAATTAAATGCCAGTGCACTATGATTAAAATTGACACAGTTAATTTTGAGTTTAGAAGAAAATTATTATTAAAACTATGACATTTTAATATAATTATTAAAGTTTTAGTTGATGTAACTTAAAAGTTTGACTTTTTGACTTTTTTGTGTCCGCTAGATAGGCAACACATTATACTAACCTCAAATTTAATCATATTTAATATTATATTAAGTATCAAATGGGCTAAATGAGAATTTTTGTCAGAAAATTGATTAAAAACGAACGTAAGTTAGATCCCGTGACTAAAGTCCGTGACTAAAGTACTTTAGTAGCCGACCGTGTTTAAAGAACCCCTTTTTGTGTCCCAAAACTTTGGAAAAACTGACAATTTAAAGCTGGAAGAAGACAAAATCATTTTTTGTTTGATTAATTGCAAGATATTAATGAATTATTGATTAATAAATTATTTTATCGGTAATTTTACAGTTTGAAAACTGTTTTAACGTAATTAAACTGATTTTGAATAAGTTAAGTAAAACTTATTTAACGGTATAGATTTTTCAAAAGAATGCGAATGCAAATTTGAACTTTGCAAAGAAACTCCACAGGAATGAATGTATGTATCTTGACAAGCCTGTAACTGACACATGCTTGCATTGTAATCGCATACGTGTTGTTGCGTCGTCAGACAAGATGTTTCTCCGGCGCGGTTGACATGTAGACTTGAACTGTTTTCCTCGCCGCTAATGCTAATCTACTGCGCGTGCCATTAAGGTAACTTTACGACGGCGGTCAATTAAACGTCGCGCAACAAGAAGGCAAGAAGACATCGAACACGTTGCTGCAATCCACCGGAGACCATGAACTATTTCGAATGCCGCACAAATAAATAAACTTAGAAAATAAAATGTGATTCCGAACAATGAAAATGTTCAAAGTATAAAATAATTTGTGTTAATTTTGTGATTTTTATAGCTTTTTAAAGAGATAATGAGCAATTTATGTGTCAAAACGAATAGATAATTATATTGTTTTGTTTTGTGACAAATCCTTCGATTCAAAGGTCTTGTGCCAATCCTTTAATTTCCCAGCTGGTGAATAGGTGCAGGCGAAAATGTCATGACCTTAAAATCACCACAACATTGTTGTTGTTTAAGTTATTCTCGAATTTATCGTATTAAACATCAATTAATTCAGCCGCAGCGTGATTCCATTTTAGCAAAAACGTAAATTCAATAAAATATGCCTCACATTTTCGGAATTTATTTGTTTGTTATTGTTGGAGGCATATTGTGTCTTCCTTTCGGAAGCAGCAGCGCAGTGGGGAAAGAAGCCAGCGGCGCGTTGACTTAAGTATTCGGCTTGGGCGAGAAAGTGCTCAGTCCGTTGCTCGTACTCCTTAGATTAGCCAGGCTCAGGTGTGTGTCTGTTGTCGGTGGTTTTTTTGGTGTCCGGTGATATAAACGTATAAACGAGGAAGTGCGCATTCCAGCATCAGCATCAGCATTCTGGACCAGTTTTCGCTTGCCGATCTCAAGTGCAATCATGATGCTGATGTGTCTGCTTATAAGCGCTCTCGCTATTGCGAATGGATATCCACAATATACGCAATGTAAGTTCAAATTAAATAAATTACCGAAGTATAACAACAGAGACACACATTTTTAATTAATAAATGTTTTAATATTCATTTTGTTACGCTTTTACTCGAAAATATCACATTTCAATGCGTATATTTTGTAGTTTTCACCACGTTGGTATTTATTTTAATGAATTGTGTATTATGTGCGTTATCGCGCACATTAATCAGCAAGAATGCGTGCAAATTAACAGCCCATCATTAGCTGTACAAACAAAATAAAAATACAAAAAGTCAAATCTCGAGGGATGACAAACAACAAGCGAGAATTTTAACAGTGTTTACATTAAGAATGTTTTATGTCCAGTATTGATGCATAATTAACGAAATTGTGCCATTATATAAATGGAGACAAGCCCTCGACGTAAATGTAAATAAAGGGAGCAATTCCAACAAAGGAAAATTTTATTTTATTTTTAATATTAGTTTTCGTGCAATATGAAGCTAGATATTATTGATTTCCTTATCTTAGATAAAGATTAACGATCCGGAAATCCTTTTTCTGGTTATAAACAATTATAAACACTTGGAATTTAATTAGTATCGCGGTTGAATGGTTTAATATCATTAATTTCCTTTTATATTGACAAAAAAAAATTAAAACAAAAGACATTTATCTATAATCCATAAGGAAATCAAAGTGTGACTAGTTTAGTAATATTTGTAGCTAATGCAATAATTGTCCTTGACTCAAACAAGAACTGTCATTCGATTCTTAGTTCGGTGTTCAATTTACCTACAGATTATTATGCGTAACTCGAGCAGGAAATCACAGCATGCAGTAACACACAATTTATACGAGTATTTCAATGAAGTGCAAAATCGTGGAGTTTAACTCAAGTAAAGTGAAATGTACCAATAAAATAAAGAATGTTGTAAGTTAAATTCCTTTGTAGGTGATGATTTGATGACTTTTCTGACACTTTGCAATCATTTCTCGGACACTTCTCTACGCACGCAATAAATTATTGTCTAATTGCGGCGCTACCCAAGCTTGTTGTTCAATTAGTTGATTATTTAATTGTCTGCATGTTACGTACATCGCCGCTTGATTGTAATTAACTGCTAATTAATGTGCATCTTATATAATACGATAAATTGCGACAGGGTGTAAATGTAATTGGAATTCTAACCTAACATAACCTAACCTTCGCAAACAGTGATTTTATTCACAACAAAAAACCTTCTTTCTTGTTTTGAATTTTGTTTTGGATTGTTTGATGCGGATGTGGCGCCCGAAAATAAACAAATTCGAAATCTCATTAGTAAACCAAATCGAAAGTTGTAGGAGTTTACACACCGCGTCAAATATTTAAATTTTATACTTGATCCCTAGGCCTTACACAATGCGGATGTAATCGTTTGGTCTTGGTACCACTAGAAACACAATACACATTATTCAACGCAGCATTTAAATAATTACTTATGCTGTCACACGGGTTCTTGGGCGCCGTGGCGATAATGAGCTGCAGGAAGGCAATAATCACAATGACAAATTTATTCACACGATGAACAAATTGCACAGACTCATAAATTTGGCGCCGAAACAACATCGCTGTGACTTGGAAGGACACAGCACAATGTCACAAACAATAACAAATTAAGATTCGCTTTTAAATATCAAAATAATGGTTATTTTTATAACATTCCTCAAAATTGAGGTTATATCGTTGAAATTATACGGTATGAAAGTCAAAGGTTAATAAATAAGGAAGTGTTACCTTTTGGTATTAATATTTTAACTTCCTGCATAGTTTAGAATTCAAAATTTGAATAAAAATGATTTTATTCATTTTCTACTAGAGTTTGCATAATTTGCAGTTTTAATAACCTACAAATAAGGCTAGAATAATTTGCTTGAACTTACATAACCTAAAACATGCTTTGTGGTAACGTCTGCCACGCACCACTAACGTTTTGTATTGTTCCACATTGCGGCTACACGCGAGTATCGATTATGATTGCTCATTGCATTTCCTAATTTCGCGAGCGCGTGTTCGAATTAAAAATGCGCGCCACGTAAGGAGAAGGCTTCGCATTAGCGATGCTAATTAAGCAGACGTTACATCAGCCCGAAGTGGTAAACTGTAACAAACGCGCGATCATGTAGAACAATTATTTGCTCAGAACATTGCCAATTGTTGGTGGTCAAGTAAAGTGTGGCGAAAATTTCGACGCCTCCTGCGGTTTGAATCGAATCTAAATCCGAGTTTTGTAAACAATGCCTATCAGAGCGGAATGTTATGCGATTAGAATCGAAATCAATGTTGAATAACGCCGTCAAAAGTGTGAGAAGTGCATAGAAGTGAAAATTGATCTCTTTATTTATTATGCAATTGAATTGCGACAATTTGCAGGCAGCGCGTCGCTCAGTACCGGATTTGCAAATACGGCGATGAAGGAATCGTCGACGAAATCGACCGGTTCAAGTGTAATTATCTAAATTAATTTGCTAAAATGTAACGAATTTTAAGTGGAGAAAACTAGGAAACCGAAACATCAATTAAAACACGCGAAATGTTTCGGAATCTCAAACAAAAATCTGCGGAAGTTTATTTCATAATCGTTTTTGATGACATTCCACTCGATTAATGCTGAATTGAATATAAATTCGCATCACGGAAGCGGTAGATATCTACATCCTACATTGACGACGCTCCAACTCCTTTGTATTCATGCGTTATTCGTCAGAAATCGCAATTACCATAGCATCACGTCGCGAGTATTTGCAACATTTATCGCGTTGGCTTTCTTCGTTTCGTCCTCTTGTTTGTCTTGTCAGTGAGTCAAACAGACGCGTGCTGCGTCTTCGCCTTCATCCGTCGTCTTCGTTTGCGTCTCTCGTTCGTTTGAGAAAACTTTCACTCCTTTTACTTTTTAAAACCAATATTCAAGAGTTCACCGTGGTACGTTAAGTTAAGTTAAATTTAATTTTGATTTAATGTGCGATTGTTCGCTGGGAAAGGCCAAAAACAATAGTCAGATACACGTTTTTCTTACTTCTTGGCATCTATTATCGTCTCAGCAGAGAAAAATTTTATTTTTTTGAGTTGTAGCTGGTAAAGGCGAAGAACAAAGATGATTTTACTACACTTTGATTGTAAACACGAGCGTGCGCAGAGAGTGAAAGTGAAAAAGTATCACCTCATATAAAGTACTTAATACTCACTTATCTACACGTTTCTCATACGTTGGGTTTAGGTTGAGACTTTAACATCGACGACACTGAAGAAAAAACCTTGTGAAATTACATAAGCATTTGTGTTAAATCGCGCACGGTGTATTTTGTGCCTCTTACGCCTCTGGTAGGTAATTGCGATTAGGTTTTATCTCCTGCTCGTGATAGTAACGTTAGTAAATCGTCTGTTCATTAACTAAGCCGCAAGTACGAGTAGTTGTACGTTGAGTTATCAGTTGGTACTTTATTCCGCCGCAAATCGCCGGCTAGCATTCAAATCGACAATAAAACATTCATTTTCAATTGCGAAACAATTTGCGTCGAGATAAATTCACCTCGCATTATATTTTCACCTTTTACTTTCGGTCTTTTCGTGCTGGAAGTGAACAATTGTGCGTATGTGCCGCCGCTAGAAAAAAGAATACTTTCTTTACATTCCACACGCAATCAAACCCCTTTGAATTACACAATTTCGAATCGATAAATCAAGCTGTCACAATTATTCTCGCATATGTCATGACGTCGAAATGCGATAACAATGCCTCATTAAATCGAAAATCTCGCCGGCAAAATCTCCGGCGACAGATTCATAATTTATTAGGTGAAATTTAGGCATGCGAAGAATGCTCAACAACAACAACTGGATAACAATAAAAGAAAAAATGTCTCGTGTCTTCTGCAACAGCTTAATTTGTTATATAACTGTAATCTCAGATGAAATAAAAAAAGATTTTATGTAGAAAATATTTTTGCAAAAATATTCATCATGTGTGAACATTAATTACTTCAATACCAATTATGGTTAAGCACTATAAAATATATATATACGTACATTAAAACGCATGTCAATTAGCGCAGTTCTTAATTACTTGCAATCGAAAAAATAATACCTTATGTGCATATAAAGGCTTCAAGGAAGATTGAAAGCGATTATGGGGAAATTGTTTGATATTTTTTCGCTTGTCATTTTTCTGCGAAATGGAAAGTTAATTTCAATAGGGAAAATCTATTTATATAAGGTAATTAACCACATTTACTGTTTCAACTAATTGAATGGAATTAAATTAAATAAACAAACGATTAATCACTCCTATCTCTCTGCATGTTGACTTGTTGCATGAGAATTCATTGTAATTGTAATTTTTATTCAAATTCCGGTTATTAGAGGGCGTTGTAAACATAACTGTCAAGTTGTGTGTGTAGCCTAACCTGAAAATCAATTCGTTTTTGTTTGTGAGGTTAAATTTCGTATTCTGCACGTAGTGTTGAGCCACAACATGACTACTCTTCAATTGCATTACCGACTCTCTGGATTGCGTTGCTCACGTTGTATTCGGTGTGCACTCGCTCGAGGAACGTCTGCTCCAGTTGCATTAATCAAGCGACGCTAATGGTCTTTGTGGCGGCGAGAAGAGCACGCGCATCGCATGCATGCATACACAAAACGCAAAAAAAGCAGCACACGCGAAAGCAAACACAGATTCGTGTATAAATAAAATTGCAGCATTGCGTCCGCGCTTTCAATGCATCCAGATGCAAAAGCGTATTGAATTACGCGCAATTTTATTAACAATTAAAAGCAAATTGAATAATTTTGCCATGTTGCTTTTAAACCACATTTTATATTGCATTTATTTATGTCAATTTGCCACTCAATTACGTTAATAGCATGTGTTTATTTCCATGTGTAATTGTTAACACAAATTTTCACTCCGACGTGAGTAAATCACGATATTTACTTAATTTGGAACAAGTATTCAATCGTTTTCCGCCTGGAGTTATGAAAAATGATTGCTAAATTGCACGAAAACGATTGGAAAGTAACGATTGGTCGTTGGTTAGTAATAATTCTGCGCGATTATTGAGCAACGTCGCAAAACGATTCTGCGATGAGCGCCGCGCGCGCATAATGCCCTAGCAGAGATTCTATAATTTAGATAATCTGCAATCTCAGCATGAAATTTCGTCAAAATGCGCGATTGCCGCAATCGTCTGATTTGGACTGAAACAATAAGAAATAGCAATGAGAAATCATTGCAAAATGATGTTAAATTTATGAATACATTAAGCAATTGGACTCTGCTTAAGTTACGGATTCATTACATTTTGGTATATTTTATTACAGCGTTTAATTGCGATACTTTCATATAACCTTCTTTGTTTTTATTAAGTAATAATTAAATAAATATTTATCATGTCTTATGATAATTGTTCTTTATTAGGAGATTATTTTGTTCTCGGTTTATTGCAAAAAATTAAAAATTTGTTTGATATTTCAACGTGCTGCGCCTTTGAGTCTTTTTTTAGGTTAGTTTAAAGATCATCCATTGTTGCATTTTTACAATGCATCAGTAGCGTAGCTTAAACCGACGCATGCGCAGCTCACTCACGTTTAACGCTTAACCATACTCTCTTCAAACTCTTTTTAGCTTAATTTTAATTAAAAACTAAATAATTTCTGATCGGTTTAACGTAGAATTCTCACACTTTTATCATTTAATTCGCATATTATCTCTTTATCAATTTCTTTTAACAAAAACGATATATTATTATTAATATTCCCATAAAATTGACAAAACTACTCCAAAACACAGTAAATTATTACAAATTCCTCATAATTACCATCGTTTTCTATCGTTTTCTATTGCTATAAACAAATTACCAAAGCGATCCTATCTGTAACACCAGTGATTATTATTCCTGCCGTAAACATAATGTGCGCTTCTATTTTGTTCGGCGGTTATCCAACACGCCGTTTATAGCATTCCAGATGCGCCGGTGCTCGTAATTAATTTACCGTTGTTTATTATGCGTTTCGTTTTCTTCCACTCGCGCAGTTTCCTCATACTAAGCGGAACGCAATCAAAGCGTGCGTTCGTTGTTCCAGTCCAGCCATGACAAAGTGATGGTTCAGTGTGTTACTAACACAAAACGCACTTGCTTCAATCATCGGCCTGACTGAAGTGCTGTGCACATTGCGCATTATGTAATCGCATGCAGTCAACCAAGCATTTCATATTTATTTATTGTGAAGCAGGAGTTGGAGATTCATTTAATTACATCGTAACATAACCATGTTTAAAGAGCTGCCAACATGCATAAGCACCAGGTAGGCAATTCTTGGAACTTGGGTATTGACTAACGACATCTAAATTCATAGACACGAAGTAAAATAAAATTTTCTACGATTTTAAGACATAAAAAGTGTTTTTTAGACACAGACGTCCAAAGGCGTGACTAAAGCACTTTAGTCACGGATTTTAGTCACGGGGTAAACTTTTTGCCTGCTTATTTGCCATTTTATTATATATTAATTTTGTAAAATAAATAAAATTCCGCCAACATATTTTTTTTGTATTTTTTATTGCATGCGAACACGATATTAAAATTCGAATATGAATTAATCACTTGAACTTTCTAGGGAAATTTCACCGAATTCTCTCCGACGCACTCTTTCTCCGATCATTCAACATGAGTCGTGACTTCAACATTTAATTTTGATTGCTTTAATTTACTATTCGCGATTTGTACAGTTTAATAAATCGTCAACATGAGTCACATTCACAGTCACACGTTTTGATGTTTTTATATAAACTGGTTCTAGATCTACATCTATCTCACTAACCTAGTGATAGAACAGAAGCCGGCGTGCGCGAAGAAAGTAACGACAGCGAAAATGAAACGCAGATGAATAAATAAACACGAATCGCATTCACGATTCTTATCGTCGTGGAATAGGTGAATTCTATTTCTATAGAGCCATCAAAATCTAATCTGATTTGATTACACCGACAGTGTTATCGTTAAATTAAATATTATAGTAAATTAATGATCAGCTTTAGTGTAAGACGTGTGGGAATATTTATTTATTCGCAAACAGGTTTTAGAAATCAAAAAGGTCATAAAATAAACAATAGAATGATTTTACAAGAAAAAGAAGAAGGTTATTCTATTGTTATTGTCTTAATAATGAAAGAATTTATAAGTAGTTCATGTTATAAATGTCGTTTGTGTGCATTAAAAAATTTAATTAATTTTTATGATTACGTGCGTGAATTTTTTCGAAAATTTCACAATTATTCCGCACATTTATGCATTACCCAGATGGCAAGTACGAAACAGGCTAATTTGATCTTTGCATATAATTATTGTCGCTCGTAAAAAATAATTACTATTAAAATTGCTTATACAATTGCTATTATCTGGCGCGGTGCGTCGCGCGCCTGCGTCGCGGTGAGTTATTACTTATTGCACGAGGTCGCAGAGCCATATGGGACATGTGGGAATACAATTAATGAATGAAAACAAGGCTGAATACAATACGCACGAAAACGTAATAGAAACTTCAACTCCAAGCCTGCCAAACTAGGTAAATTGCTAAAATATCTAGTTTAATGTTTAACCTCAAATATTTCTTTGTTTTGCTGACAAACGGGGTTAACACGAGGCGAAAACTTTGATTTTACTTACTCAAGAGATGCAAAATAGTAGAATACGGCTGCGAAACTGAGTAAACTTTAACCCGAACACATTACGACACTTACGACACGTTCGTGTACTTAGTTGCGAGATGGTTTATTTAGCGTGTCGCGTCGACTAGCTGAAAATTCTTATTGCATCCGAGGCGAGTGGCGATTTATTGCGCTCGTATGTACATACGAAACAAAGTTGAGAAGTGAGAATGAAAACAACAATGCGAGTGCAGAGCATCGAGTTCACACATTAGGCATTAGACATTCAACTTATTTAGTACACCTCGTAAATCATTTCTAAACTTCTCCAACATGTTTTTGCTCTAAAACTTATTTGTATGTATACTGTGCACACTACGCTTGTTTTTTTCTGACATAACAATTTTTGTATTACATTGGAGTTCAGCTTGAGTTGTGCTTCAGTTGCTTTGGTTTTATAGTTAACATTTTGCGTTTTGTTACACTTCACACTGTTACACTTATTACAATGTTTTGTTATTTATTTGTTGTAAGCATTGTGTAACACAAATCGCTCTTCCTGCAGCACGCTCGCTAGTTAGCCTTTTCTGAATTGCAAAAAAAACACCGACCGAGGAGAGAAGAAGGAATGAAATTTCGATTTGCTTCCTTTCGAAATTCTTAACTTAACTTGGCTTAACTTAAGTAGGCGTAGTAGTGCATTTCGAAAAGAAACGGGCCGGGCGCGGTTGCACAAGCGAAAAAAATGAAGAAAGGGATGGGACCGTGCGAGAAAACCATCACGCAAGCCGCCAACAATGAGCTGCACCTTCCTGTGAACATTAAATTAACATGGCGCACATTCGCGCTTCGTCGTGCAGAAAATTTATGCAACTTTTATGACATTTCAAGATCTTTTTAGTTGTAAGACATTTGAAGATGTTTCAAACACTTGACCTCGACGTTATATCATATTTATGTGCATTGTTTAGTTTGCAAAATATTCATAGGAGTTTCTTATGTTTTTAGCTTCGGAAGACCAAATTGCTGCAGCAACCGACCAACATGACGACGATTCAGATATGTATATGGAAGCAATAGAACATGCACCTTCCACCAGTGTTGTTCAACCAGGTGGTTCAGATTCGGATGGTTACGTGGGTGATAGCCAACAGTTCTATCCATCATTTGCACCCTTCCATAACCAACCATTGGGACATTCAAGACCTGTCTATCAACCGGAAGCAGCGTACAGCCACAGACCCACTGCTTATCAACAACACGTCGGGTTTGATTCCACTGCGAGATTCAGTGGGTACAAAGGTGAAAACGCTAACACCGGATCGGCTGATACTCATGGTATACTCGGAAGTGGTAACTTTGGTGTGATTCGTGGGGGTACCTTCTATGGAGACAACGATGATGCTGATTCCTTTGACCAATACAACTATTACAATGGTCATGGTAGACCTTCGTTTTACTTTGGTGGTAACCCACGTCCCCGACAATACCAACAGTTTGAAAACTTCAGAGACTTTGCTGATATTAACGTGCCTACCAACCCAGCATACTCCCAGTATGTTGTTGTGTATGCAAACAAAAACGGAAGCAAACCAACTGTTGGTGTTCATAGTAACAAACCCAAAAACATCATGGAACACCTTGCACTGATAGATTTGGAAACTCAACATGGTAGCACCACTCCAGTGCCTGAAAAGATCTCAAAAGCCAAGAGGAAGTTAGCCAAAGTTCCCAAGGAGAAGAAACCTTGGACCAAGAAAGGAAAAACTTCCAAGGATGCAAAAACACAGATCCCCAAAGAAAACCCAACGACGACAACCACGATATCACCGGATCTGTATGAACCACTATTGGCACTGAGCTGAATTACAAATTTAAGGGTTAAGCCAGGTGTATTTAAGTGATAGGTCTTCATGAGGAGACCTGACTATACAATCGGACTGCTACTTGAGTGCTTGTGATCTGTGAAACGCGATGATACAAAGCAGCAAGTAGATTAATGTAATTTATAGGTTAGAAATGCAAAACTCCACTCCGGAGTTTGAACCAGTTACCAGTAATAGATATAATAGTTACGGGTATGACAAAATTCACACCGAAAATATTCTTGCGCATCGTGTTAAGTAATACAATCAAATAGAAAGTGTACATAACATCAAACTGCCGCAAAATTTCAATAAAAAACCCAAAATATAATTTTTTATATCAATTTATATTCCTGCAGCGTAGCGGGTAAAAACTCCTCGCGCCTAATTTTGATGGATTACATTCAACAGGTCGATGCGTGTTGAATGCGATCATAAATGATTTACAATTTTACATCCTGTAAAACCATCTGACGCGCGCAAATTGAATCGAGGATATTCGTTCGATATGAAGCTCATCCGCGCGTGAAATATGAAATTTATCTTTTTATCTCCGGGCGATAAAACATTCGGGCGGTCTTGGCGCAATTCGAAGGTGCACTATATACATGAGCAAATAGATATTCGGCGGCGGGCCGATGTAGAAACGAAGACAGTTGACGTTATTTGTTATATTACGTGTGTGTGCGCGTGCGGGGAAGCGAGAGTGAGTTTGCTGCGGGGCCGCCGGAACTAATTTGAAGTTGGCGGAAGGATACATTTGTCATCCGCATCCCTCGTGGGCCATGATCGGGTCGGACGAAGTTATGAGCGGCAGAGTGCACTAGATCAAAACCCGCCTACCTTAGGAAGGCAGCGGTAGCGGTAGCAGGAAGGACATACTATGCAAGTGCGTGTGTATGCACTGCTGGAGATAGAAGAGCGAAAATGTAAGCCAGATAGAGAAAAAATAAGTGAAGAGAGTGGGGGTGCGGGGGGAATTCCTGCGAGACTTGACCCGAGCAAAAATCATCTACAGCGTTATTTCAGAGCTCGCGTTTTCATACTCATACGCCGTAGAAATCATCAGACTGGACGCAGGACGAAGATGAGCTCGTAGATAGATAAAGATGGATTTGGCTCTCACCAGTAAAATATAATGATAATATTTACAGTTGTAGTCTAAACATTTGATTCTCATTTTTATAAGAATCATGGAGTTACTTCCAAGAAAAAAAAACTGAACAGTTGTTCGAAGAAAAGTTCCTGCTTGTTGAGAAGTTGCGAAGGTAAATTGGCTTGCAGCGACATCACAGCAAGTTAGTTACACTCAATCTACAGCTCCTGCTTCAGCAGGATGTACCCTTACCGCTTTCAGTGGCGCGGCGGAAGACTATAAAACCATAAAACGCGATTTATAGGTTTATTGCTGCCTGCCACACTGCTGCTTCTCATTTGGTGGCAACAAAATGTTACCTTACGCTGTGAGTTGGCAGCAGGGGCCGCCTGCGAAGGAGGGTCGCGCTTCATAAAGCCTTTATCTCAACGCGTCGGCACGTCCCTCGCATTATATAATAATTTTTACACGAATTTTACAGCGCTCCTTCGCTGTGATTTTCATCTTCGTCCTGATTGTAGTCTTACATTGTATGTGTTTTCTTTTTCTTCTTCGGTGTTTTCTTTTTCTTCTTCTTGTGTAGATACAGTTGGGAAGAGAACGCGCGGAAAAAAGAGTTTTGTAGCCCACAATCTCAACGAAACGAGACAAAATGAAAAACTTTATCATGATCTACGAGGTGCGAACATCACGGAAATTATTTTTCGTAGGTCGCGGCAATGCGAACGAGAAGATATAACTCGTTTATTCTTTTTCTCTGTCTGCGTGGCTTCCAGGAGGAAGACCAGAGAGCATTATTGCCTTTTTATTTCGAGCGCTCCTGGACGTCTAATCAAAATATATGAGCCTACTTCGATTGGCTACGCTAAACAAAATTGCAATCTACAAAATAAAAACAAGAAAAACATTTTTTTGCAATTAACACCACACCAATATAAAAAAATAGTTTAAAATAAATCAATGCGATATCACTAGAATAGAATAGAATGAGTCATAAGTTGCTGCGTCAGTATATCTGCGTTAGGAAGTCGTTAACTACTCGACTATCAACTCGTAGGCTAACATTGACATTAAAGTCCAATGAATGTTTAAGTCTAGATGTAGTTCCAAACATGTGTCGTGCTGGTGTAGTCGTAGTCGTGGTCTACTTTTGTTTAACTGTTCTTACATTGTGTCTGGCTAAAAGTAAGTAAAAACAACATAAATTACAATTAAAATTAAAAATCTTTGATTTTAGCAACATCGTATTGTCCATTGAATTCTACAAACAAAACAGAATTTAGGGAACCGATTATTTTGACTAATTCAAGTGGGAAATTAGAGTTTTATATTCCTAATCTTCAAGATGGAAAATTAATTTTTAACCCACAAGAGAAATTCATCATTTCCTGTCCTAATCCACGAAATTTTTTAATTACAAGTAATAATTCATTGTGTTTTTAATAATATTACTTTTATACTTACTAAAGTGATTTTAGGTAATAGTAATACTACGATTGGACAATGTACAAATGGCCACCTTAAAGTTGCAGGGAAAACCTGCTCATTCCAGGAGTTATCATGCAATAAATCAATTCGTGGCGATGTTTTTGTAAGGAATAACAAAACTTGTGGTTATAATAACCACGGAACACCTATTGACATAGGATATTACGTTGATGTAAGATCACAAAAAAGACTTGAATTCCTACCATTGATTCAAGTATGTCATAACCTCAAAAAAGGAAATACTTACTACTCTGAACACATCATCCATGGACGCCTAATGAAACGTAATTAAAATTAAACATAAAACTAAAATAAAATTTTGTTTAAAAAAAATTGTTTTAGATTTTTCTAGAAGTAGATTTCGTCCTGGATTCTCCACGCAAGGCCTCAACACTTCCGCTGCCGTCGCTTACAAACAATCCTATCAAAAATCAAGTTTCAGTAGACAACTAGGTTCCTCCCTGCAAGCAGATAATTACATCAACAACAAGTCATTCTTATCTCGAGGGCATCTAGCTCCCGACGCTGATTTTCTCTTCGCTCCCTGGCAATTCGCAACGTATTTCTACCTCAACGCCGTGCCGCAATGGCAGAGTGTGAACGGCGGCAACTGGCATAAAGTGGAGTCGATGGTGCGGAAACTCGCAGGGCAGTTGGAGACTGACCTGAGGATCATCACAGGCACACATGGAGTGCTTACCTTTCCAGGGGCGGATCACACCGATGTAGAAATTTATTTATTACCAAACGAAGCACTTCCTGTACCTAAATTTATCTGGAAATTGGTTTACTCACCAAAAACTAGAAGAGCGATTGTTTTAATTAGTTTAAACAATCCTTTTGTGAAAGATACAAGTGAAATTGATAAGATTTGTGTGGATATTTGCAAACAATACGGCTGGGCGCAAGAAAATTGGGAGAAATTTGATCGGGGAGTTGTGTATTGCTGTGAATATGAAACTTTTACGACTGTTGTGCAAACAGTGCCAGAAATTGATGTTATAGGTGTTCTAGAAGGACCTAAAAAAACATAAGAATATTTAATTATTTAAAATAAAATTTACGAAAGAATTTAATTACATTTATTGTTTTCCCAGGCTTTTCTTAACGTTGGGGTGGCTAGAGAGCAGTTATATAAACAAGAATTGCTCCAAGGTTTTAAGAAAACTTAATTTGTGCATTGTGCCCCATATTAGGCTCCGGGAAACTCAAAGAAAACTTTTTGTTCCACTCTCCCACGAGATGCCTTCAAGAGTAACAAATGATTAAATCAAACAAAAGTTGTGATCAAAAAAATAAATGTAATTCAATTTTCTTACGGTTCTCGCAGTAATATGTGATAAAACTTAATTGAGTGAAGCATGAAAAATGTCACCGTTGTTATTAGTGTAAATTTTTAACACGTTTGTCAGCTCGTAACACCGATAAAAAAAATTAACACTGGTCCACTCCCCCCAACACGATGAAAATTAAATGATAAGACTGTCTCGAAGGAAGCAATTTTAAACACTTCTGTTGTCATAAAAGTACGCTGCACGTTGCCGAGTTTGAGAAAGCGTCCTGCTGGGAGGCGGCAGCGTACAGTTAAATAAAATAACATTTCTATAGACGGGCGGAGAGCGCGCGCGTTGGCTTACGAGACGGGTGGGACATTACGCCGCTCATTCGGGAGACACAAATAATAAATATTATAATGCCGGTCGGTCGGCCGGTAAGAAAGCGCGCGCGTTTCGCGACACAATGTGTTGCATTGTGTTTTACAGCGCAATGCGCGCGTTGGCCCTGATGACAGTTTTGCGCCGCTCGCCGCGTCTTGGAAAAAGTTTTATGCGCGTCTCGGGACGTCGCCCGTGCATGTTTAAGCTTAATGGACGCGTCCTGCCGAGATATCGTCCTGCTAACGTCCTGCGACGACGTCGTTCCAGATAGCGCTCGCCAACACTCTGGAAATCTGCATTTGTCGCCGGAGTTTCCAACAGAAACGATGAAACATTGCATTCGGATGCTGGTATCGCGTAATTAACGTCTTTCCCAAGTGAATTCTTCCGCATTTCCACGTGATTGGAAATTTTCGATGATAAATCACAATTTGACATACGTATGTTGGGTTGCCTAATGCCCATTCCATGTACACTGGCATATATCGCGGCGAATCTTCACGTTATGATATCATAATGAATATACATATAAATTAGGGTTTTTGGTAGCGAAGGGTGAGTCCATCTCGTCGCTCGGACATGCAAACCTACTCTCGTTTCGAGGTTTTGCCGCTGGAGCTGGTGTATGAATGTTAAAATAAGTTTCAAATTGTCAACGACGCAAGTTGCCTCCCTGGAGAGACGCTGGTATGAGGGTCGGATCGCCTCAGAGCTAATTCCGACGCAGCAGGAGCTGCAGGAATATACGCCAGAAATTGCCAGTCGAAGGCACGTCGGCGGGTAGGGCGAGGCGGGCCTAAATTCATTAACGTGGCGCCCCGCAGGAGGCAAAAAACGCAAATTTTTACCCCAAGCAGCGGCAAAACGATATTAAAACTCTCCGCGGCTGGTGAACAACAAGCAGCCGAGTTGCTTGTGCCTTTTGTGTTCACTTTTTTGTCTTTTTTTTTTCGGCTGAGGTAAACCACACTTAATTACAACCCTTTTCTGCTGCCAGTGCAAGTCTAACAATGGAAATTTGCGAAAATTGACAAAAAATATTTTATTTTCGAAACTAATTAAACAAGTTTAATTGCAATTAATAATAGACACGTTAGTGGTACGTATTTCAATTTCATTTCATTTACGCGAATGTAGAAATAATGTTTATTCGTAAACTTGTGATGTTTGAATGTTTTTTTAATTATGCATAGCTAATTTAAAGTTTTACTATCCAGGGACTGTTCTGGTATTGTATGTTTCTGTAATTTTTAAACTTTCTAACAAAATTAACCTCAAAATAATAACTAAAAACAGCAAAAATTGCTGATTTTGAAAAAAGTGTAGAATTCAATTTTTAATTTCAACTCAAGTGTACGATTGCCAGTTTTTAAACTAGTTACGAATTTAAATTGAAAAATTAAATTACAAATGGTGCATTCAACAAACCCCATTTTCGTCTTGAGCAGTTTTTTTCAGTTCCCTTTTGAAAATTGCACTTTTCTTCTGCTTGGTGCGAGTGAAACTTGGAAATGAAGAATGAATAAAACAGGAGTTTGCAAGTCGACGTTAACTCGTCGCCAAATCGACACAAAACGAAGCGGAAAACTGCGCTCGCAAGGACGAAAAGGAGTAAAACTTTGGTAAGACTAAGCGCGCATTACGCGCATTAGGATCACCTTCATCCGACCGCCCCCTTTACATTCACCACCGACGCCAACGAAGTGGTAAGCTAATTACTTATGCTTAATTAGTTCTTAAGACATTCTTACACGAGTTTAACTTGTTCCCCAGCTTTTTAGAGCTTTATAACCTTAAATTTATTTAAGTGCTGTCAGTTTAAGGTTATGTCTCGTTTAGTTTTAAACAACATTAAATTATCTTATTAAACGCTCACGGTTTTCATCATTTTTTAAGTTTAAGAAATGAATTCACATGTGTAACTTGTGTTACATGTAATGCAGGATGTAAATTTACTTTATCCTGATGGAAATGTATAGATCTTGATCTGAAATTGATTCGAAAAACGTCCATGCATAATGTAGCGATGTGCACACTCGCGAATCATTAATCATGTATCCAAGCTCGCACGTAGGTACAACAATTTTCTTCGGCGCGGCTGAATCTCCCACAGGAGTCGCGCGTAATTTCTTATTTCTCTCATATATCATGCGAAAGTCCTGACACTTGTCAGTCCGAACAAACGACAACAACTCTAGATTACCATCCAGCAGCTATACTGTCGTATTATACCTACACCAACCAACAACCAGCAATTTCAAATGCCAATTATGTATTCGTGGCGTGAACTTCCACCACAGAACAACAGTCGTCTTATTTAATGTGAAGAAACAAAGTTTTATGCCGACATTTTTTGATGACGCAACCATGACGGTTGAAAGTTGAACAAGAAACAATTTGGGGCGTAAAAAGTGAGAAAATCATTGTTACCTGACGATGTTTGTGTGTTCAGAGGATGTAGTAATGTTGCACTTGTAACAGGAGTAGATATAATGGTGAAAAACTAATGATTATGTGAATATTTGATGAAACTAATTTGTATAACCACAAAACCGCGTGGTTTGCACACAGAATAAGAAAAAACTGTAAAGACGCGGTTTGTTGTAGTGTTCCCAACTCTAAAAAGTGTTTTCCCCTAAAGTGAAAGTTAAAAATCACTAAAATCACCATAATTACTTCAAAATTTCCCTATAAAACACATGACGGTGCGCCATCTAGTACTGTCGAATAGTAACTAACAAAAACGCTTAATAAATGTTTCAATCAAGAAAAGTAAGAATATTAGGGAAGGTAGCATAATTTGGACCAGCGCCTAAGTTGGACCACCACGATATCCGCGGACTGTTGAAGTTTATGCAAAATTGACTGGCCCCTTGTTTTACTCGTATTTATAAACAATTAATGCAACTATTTGGGTTAAAACTTGCCGCGTGCTTTCGTCGTGACAACAACTTCGTGTATCATTGATTATCAAATCTATTATAACGACGTAAGTGCAAGAGCTGTCAAGCCGTTAAAACGTTAGTTTTACCGATTATTATTTTATCATCAGAAAGCTTCTTTATTTATCTATAATTTATAGTATTAATTTTGAGAGGTTATGTTATATTAAGATTGTCGTTGATCATTAAATAAAAATTCTTCAAGTTGCCGAAGTTGGACCGAAGACAGGCACCGGGGTTTTAACAGGGAAAACGTATATCATTTTTTCGACCTCCTAGAAAAGCTTGTGGACGAGCACAAATCTTCGAAATGATCCACTGTATGAAATGCCGCACTTTGGTTTATACAAAATGTGCTTGTGTTACTGCTAAAACTAAAATTTACTATTGTGTCAATTGCCGTTAAAAAAGCATGGTCCAATTTAGGAAACCGCGCGGTCCAATTTAGGAAACCGGTTTCTTAATTTGGACCAAAAACACAATTTTTTTAAAATGAAATTTGAGGGGTATAAATATAATTTTTACTTAAACCAAAAATAACATTTTGTTGGTAAGCCTTGTGAGTTACTTTTCCGCTACTTAATTTTTATTGACAGTTTATATGTGGCTCTATAAATCAAAAAATATAAAAATGGTCCAAATATGGCTACTTTCCCTACGTGTTTAATTAACAAATTATCTTATTTTAAAACAAACGGGAGTTAAATAAGTTTACAAAAGGGTAAAATACATTGAATTTATGATATTTCACTACGAATTTTGTTGTTTTTATAACGTTTTTCATTGTTTACAGTGCTTGAAGAAGAAGTGCATCTAAACGCTGTTGAATACAACTCCCTGGCACATATGATTAGATAGCAAACAGCCGAAGGGTGGCACGGCTCGTTGTCGATAGAGGCATCAGAAGGGTGGCAGGGTGGCAGGACAGGTTCTCGAGTATGCGGCATATGGTGTTGCAACATGCATTAGCCACTAGCATTACGTATGCTCTTCTTTGCACGACGGGTGCCTGGCATTAGAAGTACAACATACTTCTACGCGCCTCGAGGGCGCTCCGATGAAACATGCACGACAAGGGGTTGCAAGTGCGGCGGTGACGCCCTACCGATCGGGCGACGCTTATAGTCTGATATCGAACTTCATCAGAGGGTGATGCCAGTAGCAATTGATAAATTATTCAACTTTATATTTTTATATTTTAAGTTTTAAACTCCTAAATATTATCCACTATCGTGTATAAAGTATAAAGTATAAAGTTTTCCACGTCAGTTGTAGCTATAATTAAAACTAAGTCAAGGGTTAAATTGAAGCAATCAATGACGATTGCATCCATTTCGCGCATTGAGTGTTTACACAGCGAAACAATCTGCTGTTTGTTTTCCAATTTTTGTTTCCGCTCGGCCACGTTTTAATCTTTTCAATCTCTGAGCTGTGGCCAAGCTCACAAACAAGCCCTAAACAAACACACTCGAGTGG